CCAGTCCAGAGTGGGTGTCTCGAATTGGGTCCACAGCAGAGTAGTACAGGTAGGTGAGGCAGTCAGGATCCCTTTCAGTCGGGCCTCCACCCTTAGGCACCACCCACTCATATTTATAGGTACTGTCAGGACGAACTAAGGCAGCAGGAAGGGGCTCAATTACTCCTAAAAAATGCAAGAAGAATAAAACTTATGTTACAAATGTACAAAATATGTACTGTATGATTGTATACGTATCATTGTGCACCACAGAGAAATACGAAAAGCAATAAAACTGCAGCCTTTGTAACTTGGATAATTTTCAGTGAAAAGACAAAAGCTGATCTTAGATCAGTACAGTTAACTGGGGTGGTCATTATACAGTAAAGCTCAAGACTTTCTCAAACTGAACCAATAGCTGATGGATCAGCATCAAAGCATCATAAGCAAACCATGGGTTACACTAAAAAGGAAGTTTCCCCTTTTATGGATTTGGATTTGTCCTGATAGAACAGAAGACAAAAGACAGTTTTGTGAAAGTAAGCCAAGCGTACTACAAAACACTACATGAAGGCTTACAGTTACATAAACCTTGTGTTTCTCAACACCTTCCAGAGTAAATGGCAGTGCTGTACTTACTTGCTTCTTTTTTGAGTTCTCTGAGCTTTTTGGCAGTGTATGATTCTGCAGGAACAAAAAACAGATGATACAGTGTTACAGTTACAGTGAGGACATATTCTTGTGAGTTTACACAAAAATGACTCTCAATTTCTTTTCTACTTACCTTCTAAGACATTATGGTAGAGTGTGCCATCCATCTCAATGCTGTACTGCACACCATGAGCCTGAATACTGTAAGGCCGGCTTGCTTTATTCCTAAATGTGACCTTTATGGTATCCTCTTCCTCTGCTCTGATAATTGGTCCTATGAGAGAAACCAGAGAACACTTTACTGATCCCAAAACTCTTGTGGCTGTATTGTCTCACGCAGGTTAAAGTTGGTTTTGTGCACTTTTGATGGAGTATCAAGGAGTATGTAGAGTCCAGCAAAACAGCTCTCAGCATTTTTTTTTGATGTGAAGCACATCATGGAACTGGCTTGTAACACACTCAAAATAATTGTTCACATTTTTCAAATATGAGGTGCTTTTCCTATAAAAATCCCTGTAGTTGCACACAAGCCATAGTAAAGTTTGAGAAATCAGATTAGACGTGTCAGAAAGACTATACCCAGAATGCCAAGATGCTGTTCCTCAGGCGTTCTCTCCTTGCGCTTGGTGAAGGTGTCATCTGTGTATTCTACATACTGGACCTTCTTGTATTTCCCTCCAATGCGGTCATCGCGATTATCAAAGAAAGTGTCTGCCATACTGTGGATCAACAATTGGTTATACAGAGCCCAATGAATTGCACAATTGGTTGGATGCCAAGCAGAATTAGCTGTAGAAATCTTCACCTGTCATCCTCTAGTTTGATGCCAGTGTACTGGTTAATCTGTGTAGGCCCATAGTCCCAGATGACCTCTTCAGCTGCTATGTAGTACTGCCTGACCTCACCGAATGGTCTGGGTTTATGAACATTGGGGAAACACTTCTTGATCTCAAAAAATGCTTGCATACCCGCTGAAGTGGGAGTAAACATAACTAAGTCAGTGCTGATTTATAATGGTATTCAATAAGTACTTTTCCTAGTAAAATAATTATCACTGTAGGACAGCATATTGAAAATGCTTTGTATATTTGAGTTACTTAAGATTAAATGTGTCTTAACGTATTTCTGTAACCCTGAACACTTCTCTGAGTGGTGAGGTGCTGTCCTGCCTTACCTTCCAGGTGATCATTGACCTGGCAGCTCAGCAGCCACTGGCCAGGGTTGTCTGCTTCCATCTCTACATTGACAAAGGTTGCTGGGAACAGGCTGACCGTGTCTGTGTGATGCCGCCTGTTGGTCAGGATCTGACCGTGGAAGAACGCAGAGTGGATGTCCACCTCATTTCCAATCCCAAACAAATGCCAGTGAATCTTATTGCCCATGCACATGCTCAGGTCCGGCAGGTTGCCAAAGACATAACCATTAATAGCTGCAAAATAGTGATTGGACAAAGACAGAGCTAGAAGTTAAGCCCTGACCCTTGTCATAGAAAGCTATCCTGAAGTGATTTGAGGTAACTTTGAACAGTTTACAGAGTTATGTTCTGCTTACAGTGCATTTTATTGCTCTCCACAAAGTCCTCATCATCCTTCTTGACTTTGGTAGGTGCAGTGCAGAATGTCTTGATATTGTCATCAAGGTACCAGCTGAGGTTTTCATCAGAAACAGTAAACATGAGGGTATACAGGTAGTCACCTGATTTATCCCCATGCACGTCCAGAGTACCTGAGGAATAACGCAGTAGATGTGTACATTTATTTGAATGTTTTGCTGGCAAATGTATGGATTAGGTATTGAATGGTTTGGTTTTGTAAGATTTGCCTAGGTATATGCTTAATTTATGGATCCCGACAGCAATTTGTTCTTAGTTTCCAAAATAGCGACTGAGGCTTTCCTTCTTACCTAAGGAACATACCTTATTTATTAGACTTTTAAGACTTTTAAGTTTAAAAAAAATTTAAAAGTATACCTTTTTTACAGATGATGAGTGGCCCAACAAGTCCAGAGGCCATATCTTTTGGGGCATTGACATGAGAGTGGTACACTCGGGTCAAGCAGCTAGGATCATCTTTGCCAGGAGCATGAGAGGGGGCCAGAGGCCATATGTAGCTGTATGTCTTCCCAGGAGCCACAGAATCATCCTGCTTCTCCGATGTCTCAGACATGTCTGGATACAATGCCCCTGAAAAGAAATAGAGTGTATGGTGGCACATATTGAATTTATTTTACAATGATCTATAATTCTTGTATACAAATCCTTTCACACATTTCGCAGGTCAGGGTCAAACAAAGAGGCATGGTTTTGTAATGTATTACATAGAGTAGGAACAGTAGGTGGCCATATAGTAATATGTGTTTAATATACAAATGCAATATGCATTGGGCCCCTAAGCCAATACCTTCACTGGACTTATTGTAACTCATCCCATGTGGATGAATGGAGTATGCACGTGTGGCCATATTCTTTAAATGCACAACCACTATGTCATCTTCCTCTGCGCTGATGAGAGGCCCCAGGAAGCCCAGCCATTTTGGTTTTTCTATCTCCTGCCTGAAGGTGGCATCTGTGTACTGCTGGTAAACTGCTTTCTTATACACATGACCAATCCTCTGTTCCCCCTTCTCCAAAAATGTCCTTGCATGCCTGAAGCACATTAGAAATTGAAATTGAAATACTTATAAATTAAATATAAGAAAATAAACGTATTAATATTATTAACATTATGCAGAATGATCCTTTTTATATACAATAAATAAAAGGCAAACATAATACAAGCATGCAAATTGTAGCCTTACATATTGTCAGTTTGTAACTGTAATGTTAGCCTTAAGTTTCACTATATCATAACGTGGCTATATATTTTGCCATTTCGTGTTTGAAAAGTTCATATAATAGAAAACTATAAACTCACTCATCTTCCTTCAATGTCTTGTTTTGAATGAGGTTCATGCCACTAGGTGCATAATCCCATCGAACCTCTTTAATAGCTATAAAATATTCCCTTGTGATACAGGACACAGTTCCAACACTGCACAAAAATCCAATTAGATTCCACCATAGCCTCCCCATCTTGTTCTTCTGAAATGTGGATGTCAGAGTTTCTAACTGTTTGGTTCATTCCTTTTAAAGGTAAAATGGGGAGCCATGCCAACCAATAGCAGAAGGATGTTCAAAGGTATCAGGACAGTTGACTAATGTATTCCTCTGTTCCACATGACTTGAAACAGTACACCTGACAAACTCCTGACTTTTGGCACATGCAATGCTATCTTAAAAGAAAAAGTATTTAGGTTGAGTTAACACTTATCACTGCCACTGGAACAAAACATGGATTAGTTTGCTCGACTTGGACCTTGGACTTCTAGCTGATACATCTATGATCTGTCTACTGTGCTGCAATCATATGTCTATATGCATACATTTGTACTAAGGACTGCGTTCAATTTCCATTTACTCTGTTTCTTTTTCTCCAATTTAGGATTATATAATGTGCTTATTTGTGGGGTTTTTTTTACAAGTTTTTTTTCATCTTCTCTCGAGTCAGTATTATTTGACTTGACTCATTAATCCAGTTTGTCCTTTCTTAATAACACTCTTTAATAAAAATATTATTTCAAAGATTTGAACTGATCGCAGCCCTGCCAATAACATTCTGCTCAGGTAAAACAGCACATCAGTCTAAACTTTTTAAAATATCAGAGCATTTGGGTTTTTTTTTTTTAGTTTATGGGCTCCAACTAGTTTATTCTTTGTTGTCTTCGGTCTGACCTTAATGAATGTATGTCTAGATTTTCTTCCCAAGTTGCACAGATTTGGAATTTCCAGCCCATGTGAATTACGCAAACTTGAAAAAAAACGCTTGAGAGCACCGTTCCAAATTCAATAGAGTTACGGATAATAGTCTAACAACATTACGTGTTACAAAGCTCAAATTGTGGTGACAAAACCACAAATAGATTTTTTTAAATAACCAAAAAATCAATTGTAATTGTAACTACAAAACATTGACAGAATCCATTAACTGTTAGCAAACTCCATGGAAAATACATGGACAAGGTAAGTCACTTTAAGAAAAAGTCTTGTTTCTATAATATTTAGTCTAATTCTAAAGTTTTGGTCCATGACTACAAGTGTTTGTTTAGCTGGAACAACTTGTCCATTACTGAATAACGAATAGCTGTCTAGTGACTTTGCAAGAGCAGCATTCAGAAATATAAGCCCTTATTAAAGAGGCATCAGTACAGGCTCCTGCAGCTCTAGGTGGACTAATCAGGTTCTTCCAATAAAGCCATATAATCTCAGCATTATGGTGTACCTCATTCACACTCGGCTGCACTGTTGTTCCACAAAACATTATACAAAAATTGAGTTAATATCTAAATTGTAACACATTTATTCATTTTAAGCCAGCACAAACATTATAAAAATAATACAAATTTTCCTAAATATAGAAAATAACATTCTGACGTGACTGTCTTTGTCTATTTCACTTAAAGATTAAAAAATAAGTTACAATGCCATTTTCTCAAAATGAAGACACTTATACAAAACAAACATACTTCATAAAAAATACATTTGTCTTTAACAAAATACATGTTACAGTCTGGATAGTGTACAACAAAAACTGGCAAAACACATTTGAAACAGTTTCTTTCTGGACAAAAATTGAATTCTTGTGATTTACCCCACCCTATGGTTACAGTGTCTCAATGAGGAGGACTCAATCAATAGTATGTAATTTTACAAACTCTTGTCTTATGTAATGGCGTCATCAGCCTTTGGTCTGACTGAAAGAGAGTGGGAATCTGATACTGGACTTGATTGTTTGAAAATGATATTAGACTGATGAATAGAAGCAGACTTCTTCCAGCTGGGCTTACACAGTTCCTCAAGCCCATACTACACTGAACTAGAAAGTCCCCAATAAACACTGCCAAATTCAAACGTTGCCTGTGATTACTGGAGGGTTCTAGATTGTCACAGTGTAGTGTGTCTGTTCTGTTTCTAAATGTTCTGAAAGTCAGTAGTCCAACATTAGAATTTTGGTGTTTGTTGGGGAGTACTGCATGGATACACCTTGTATCTTCAAGCGTTCAGGCTATATTCCTGCTTATAGCAGCAGGGCCTGCACACAGCATTGACTAGTCCACTGACGATTTGGACGACACAGATGAGGAACTCCAGGGTGCTGAGGCCTAGCAAGATGGAGAGCAATGTCACGTTCCACTCCACAATGTGAACAGGCTGTATGCACTCAGACCAGCTTTCTCTCGCAAACAGGTATCTAAAGAGAACAAATGCAGAGGATACAGGAAGGTTTTAAACAGATACATTGAAGCCCATTTTTAATGCAAACCCTAGTCCTATTATTCAGTTGTTAATCCAAACACTAGTTAATCCAAAGAATTATTTGCTATCTTAATGAATTATTCAGTAACCACTATGAAATTAACATGTGCGTTATGTGGTTATGAGAGTAAGAAACTCTTAGAAGTTAGGGTCACATAAGGGCTCTTATAGTTTAAGGGGATACAAGCATTTAAATTAATACTATCTTTGCAGCAACATTTTGAAAAAGTACTTAATGCTTTCTTGGAGCCTCTTTACACTAGTTAAGGGACTTGAATAAGAGCAGTTGATAAATACCATAAATGAAAATGTAAACGTAAACTGTAATGAATAAGAAGTATAATAAGAACCTGTACTGATTACATACTTTGGCCCATCACTCTCAAAGGGAGATCTCCATCCCAACGAGGTGAAGCAAAATGGCCCATTTAGCAAGGCGACAGCTGAGATGAAGAAGCAGTATCCAGAGCCAACCAGTCCAATGAGAGCAGCCAGCACAGAGCCACACATCTACATAATTACCAGCAAAGCACACAATCAAGGCAAGACACTGCTGAGCCAACAGACTACATGGATGGTCACTTAAAGTTTATCCCACCGTGGTCAGAACTTACTGGAGAATTCTCAGATAACAGGATGTGTGTATGACGTCTGGACTAACTGACACTGCAACATAACAGTAGACAGTGGACTCCTCCCTATGGACAGATATAGTACTCACCGCACAGCTCTCAGTTCCACAGGAGTTGGCGCACTTCCCCATGCACAAAAAAGTAATGGCAGGTATGAACATCTGCAGAGAGAGAGAGAGAGAGAGTCAGGGAGTCATTGAAAACTGAACAACATAGTATCAGAGAATATTTTCAAGGATATTTTCCTTTGCTCAGATTTCATCACTGGCCCCAAAAGGCAAGCCTTCTCACTGTGCAATCTGTGAAGACAAGGTCTCCATTGTCCAACTTTATTTTGAGCTTTTCAGTACCATTCATCACATTCTTAATCTGCATTCAAAGCAGCCTTGAGTAATTATGACTAGATTAGGCTTCATATAGTTACGTTTTGACAAAAAAACAAATTCCATCAGAGTTATTCAAGCATTCTCTTTTGGTTTGTTTGTTTGTTTGTCTGTTTTCCAGTGTGTTGTTAATTCAGAGTAACTTAACTCAAGTTCATAATGTAAAATAACCTGACATACAAGTCCCCAGTCACGAAGGTTTGTTACAACATGAGCTAAATTAGTAATTAGAAATGACTTAGAAATTAGAAAGAGTAACATAGCAAGACCTTCCACTGAAAAAGTGATGTGTAATTATAATAATAAATAAAATAATACAATATCTAAGATCAACATAATTATACATGTTGATATGTTTTGTTCATGTACACAATTTTTTTCAGAGTATCGTTTCTACTATATGCTATACTTCACGTCACAACTCTTTACAATCACCTCAGTAAGCTTAATGGCTTTTAAAAGGTTTCACTCTTATTTCTTCATCAGCAAAATGAAAACACCAGGAATAATACTTACAGCTATACCTCCACCTCCGATTCCCATGAAGAACCACACATACTTGGTCAAATGGTTATCCTTCACAAAATCCATCTGTCCATCTGGGAAAAAGAGCAGCACATTGGCCACTATGCAGCAGGTGGCCAGTGGGATGAGGGCGAAGCCCAGAGACCGGGCAAACCCCAAAGAACACATCTTTCCAAAAGCAGGGAGAGGAGAACTGAGGGAAAAGCCAATAACTCCCACACTCGGGCAAGCAGCTGCAGCTGTAATCCAGGAAGGAAACTGAGGGAGGCTGAAGAGAAGTGTAAGCTTTTTAAGAGACCCTCCCCCTCCATCCCATGCACCCACACATCCCCACAAACTGCTGAGGACTGCTGTAAGGGATATGATGCAATGTCTTCCATTTTGGGCAGTATGACTTGTAGTGCAGGGAAAGCAGTGAGAGCAGCCAGGATGACTTACTACATACCCCAACAGGGTAAGGGAAGGAAGCCATCAGATAGAGAACGTCACAAACTCTCTGAGGCTTGGGGGTAAGGGTCCTGAGCTTGTCTTTTACGGTCCAAAATTACTTAAATATAGTATAATCTTAAATATAATCTCTTTCCAATAACATAAATTGTAAGTCAAGAACGTTTCTTTCTTCTCCTGTAAAGTTGCCATGTCAGAGATAGGTTTTTTGTTATGACAGTGATAATATGTCTAACACAATTGGTAGTCCATCAGATATTTTTCCAACAGTTTCCTCACAGACATTAGTCGCTGGTTTATCTCACGGATTCTTTTTCTTTTTGACCTGAGTGACCTTGTTAATCTCACTGGCACACAAGTACTTTTTGTATCTTAATTCCACTACACAGTGTGGCCCAGAAGAGAATAGGCTCTATTGTTTCCCTTCCAGGTTTCTTCCACAAGTTCTTAGGGCTTCAGCATTGCCTTTAGTTTGCTCATTAAGGACACGGGCATGGATTTCTGTAATGTCTGTTGAAGTGATATATAAATAAAACTGAACTGAACTGAATGATAATGGTCCTTAGACAGTTCATTATTGTGACTATAGATGGCATCAGCTTCTTGCATAAAGTCAAGTGCACACCTATACACCTGTTCTAAAGCCATTAACAGCCACAGACAGATTCATAGCATGAGCACAGCTCAATAAAATGCCACTTACTTACTAAATATTTTTGGACAAAATGGTTGTTTGGCTGTCATCTTAACTCTAGAATCAGATCCAGTTTGACAGCATTAGTGTATTTGTCAACAACCCCTGATTCTAGATCTGCCTTAATCTGAAAAAAACATCAAAAAACAGATGTAAATCTTATAGCCTTGCTGGACAAACAGGTGAGAATGCTGAAGAATTGAGTGTACAGGTCTCAACCACTTGTGTGATCTGGGATTAACCTTTGGTATAATCTGGCATTATGAAGAAAGCAGTGGTTTGTAACGAGTGAGTAGCGCAATTACTGACTGCCTTATGTAACAGAGCGTTTTCTCCCCAGTGGAAAATACACTCAACTATTCTTACATTTGCTGCCCGGTGGGTCTGAGGGGATTTAAGAAACAAAACCACACTTGTGCCCTGAGAAATATCTAGTGTGAAAATAAAAACAAAACACAATGTAGAGCAATATTCAACCATTCTGTAGATCTGAGATTCATGTAGAACAAACACATATTCTTGGAGAAATGCCCAAAAATGTACAAAATGCCTCTGCTCTAAAAATGTTCTGGGGGAAAAAAACAGCACAAATCAAATTATATCACACAGGTTATGTTTTAGCCACCTTTCGATGGATTAAAAAGAAATTTCCAGTTGTGTGCTCAGGAGAGGTCAAAACTTAAAGACCAAAGGAAGTTTCAAATTTCAAATATATACATAACTGACATAAATAATTCAGAAATTAATTTAATTATTACATTAAATTAAATGAAATTAAATTAAAGGTAATACATTGACAAATATATATATATATATACACAATTCATGATGAGAGCAAATGACCTAGGATTACATTAAATAGTAAAATAAAATAAAATAAACATTGACATTCTACACACCAAAGACCAAAACTTGTATCTAACAAACTGTACTACAATAATCAATCTGTTATCTGTGGTTTATGGTGTGTCTGGGGTGTGACTTTATATCTAAAAATAAGGCCAGATACCACACCAGGTTTTAACTGTCCAGTTGCCTCATCTAATTGCCAGTATGTTGCTTGTTTGAGCTCATGCTAGGAAATTTTGTCAGGATAATGAAGAAGAGAACTCTCATTGAGCAGCAGGATTCCTCTTGAAAAGCTCGGATGTGACACTAATTTTCCACTATTATAAGTCATGTAAGGGGTGGCATTTCCCACAGCATAACTCACACGGCGACCACATCCCCCACACCCCTTCACACACACAAACACATACAAACACACAGTCCTCCACCACGGATTTCCCTCCTTGAAAATGGTGAGCAAATTCCAATGCGCTGATATACAGCAAGTCCACTGAGACAATGACAATAGAAAAAAGGTTCATGACACGCTGAGATAAAATGTTAGAAATGCATGAATGCAAACACAGTAAGAGATCCAACAAAAATACCTTAATTAGCATATAATTTTTAGGATCTAATATCTCTATCTTTTCATCTTTTTATAAAATTATACCATTTTATTATTTTGAATAAATGAAAATCATGCCTAATGAGTATGTACTATTCCTTAATTTCTCATTCTTTAAGTGTATAAAAATAAGTAAAAGTAAAAGATACCTCAGGAAAAACTGGTCTACACTAGGCAGGATACAGCTACAGACATAAATAGATACAGCGGAAAAGTCCCCAGTAAGCTGTACTCTAGAAGTCCAATCACACTTTTACTGTGAAAAAATGTAAAAATTGCAGTACTGAGACTCCCATCTGATAAACACACATCTTCTATGTCTGTTACTGTGAGTTTTGAGCCAATATAATTCTTTTAGTTTGAGACTTATGTCCATGTTGAGGGACTGACCTAATCATATAACAAAGCCACCATGAAAACTTTGCTTTAAAGGATGTTAACAATAATAACAAAGTGTATAAATTAATAAATTACCTATATGACAATGTGCCTCAAGATTTAGATATGTAAAAAGGTCAAAAGGTCAAAAGACACACAACCAATACCAGTCTGGACAGTTTGGGCTATTTTGTTAAAAGGAAATACTCAAAATCTCATCATATTGGTTTAAAAACACAATATTCCAGTTTCATGTTTATTTAATCTGTTTGTGTGTATGTGTGTGTTTATATCAGCAGTTTTTAGATTATGTGCTTAAAGGGCATGCTGTCATACCTAAACACACATCTTAATTTTACTTCAGGAAAAAAAGATTATTGAACATACCTTTTTGTATTATTTAGTTTTTTATAGAAGCATAAGAATGCCTACAAGACAAGATTGTGGGCCTCAACAATCTTCACTCACATATTACTATGACATTTGAGTGAAAAGGGAGAAAAGGAATTACAGAGATGATCTACTTTTGGGTTTGCTATTCACAATGTAAATTCAAAACATGACAGAATATGAAATCTGGTTGACTCTATATGTTGTTAAGCACTTTCATGAGACTTTTTTAAGCATGGCTATAAAGGGTTTTTAAAGAGAAAATGTATGAAATACAAATGACTAAACAAATGAAGCAATAATAAACCCAAATAAAAGTAAAACTTAACAAATAAATAAAACAAGTCACTAAATAATTAAGAGGACCTTAAAAAATATAAATATAAAATAATATAAACAAAAACGTAAAGCAAAATCTATCTTTTAATTAATAACTACATGAATATGTATGTATTTATTTATATATATGTCTATATGTATCTATTTAATTTTTTTATTTTAATGACGCTAGCAGCGATAATGAAGTAAACTGTGAAATTGAGCCTATAACCCATCAATGTTGGGAGGGCAGAATCTAGTGATTACTGTCTTGTGACTGGCTTATTGTTTCCAGTCACTTGTTTATGCCCAATTTAATATGGCTGCAAAAGCAAATGTATTTCTAACATGAAACTAGTTGAGTAAATTAACCATCTATGAAACAAAAGCTGGCTAGTTAAACAACAACTCGTAATGTCATGGAGAGGGACAAACTAACTAGCTAATGATCAAAAAAGAGCATAACTATTGATTGAAAGAAGGCTTATAAGCTAACTTACCTTGGCTATAACTACAACCCAGCTAAATTTGAACAATGACATTATTTGCTTCAGGAAATGGTCCTAAGTTCATTACAAAATACATACATTTTAAAAGAAAGAGTTGTGGAAATTGTGTCATTGGCACTAAATGACAATTAGATGAAGTTTAAATAAACCAAACAAGAGCATTACTTAATCTTATTAAAGTTCAAAATTGTTAAAATGGGTGAAAGAGACTTTCAAGGCTAAAGTCATGTTGTCAGTAGCATCACAAATAAATTTTATAAATGTTGCTTATATTATGCTGCATTACTCATATATAAAACAAATAAATTAATTAATAAATAATAATTAATTATTTAGTTGTTCATTTATTCAATTAATTTTGTCAAAAAACTCCAAAACTTTTAAGCAATTACTTATATTCACTTTTAATTTTTACATACTTACTAAGGCAGGCCTACATATTTGATGTACTGTAAGCAGAACACCTTTCCCATAGTTCAACTTTCACATTCTTAGAATCATTTTTACAAATTTAGATGGAAAATGATTACATTTTTTTAATGTTGCATCTGCCTGTCTGTCCCTACCAGCAAGCTGAGACTTAACTGAACTTTGTCACACAGTATAACTCCAAACACAGCAGTGAATACCTTATGTCCAAATGTTTGTATGTAAATGTTTTTATAGATACCTCCATGTATCTGTGTCTGGGCTTATATTCTGTTTTGGTGTAAACTAAAGAGAAATGTCAGTAAGCAGAAACTTATACCTGTTTTTACAAAAGTATTCACAAGTATGGTCAAAAATGTCTCTGGATTGTTTGTTTTATTTTTCATTTTCATCAAGGGTACCAACAATTATGCACTCACAGACCAACAGCAGACACAAAATACAGAAGTCTTATCCTTATAATTTCCCCATTCATCTGGTATAATTCCACCATTCCCTCACATATTTAGATGAATTCCCCATTCATCTCCTTCAATAGATGTCCACTGTTTTTAGAGAATCACTGATGCTGTTGTTTACAACCAAAAGGAGGAAGTCTAAATGTCATCCTTAAAATAGTACTAAAGACAAATGGTTCAACTGGGAGGAACAGTTTAATGAGTGCTAGAAATACTCAACAATGATGCATATTTTATCAAATACGAAAAAATGTTATAATTCATTACCCACTTAGAATAGACAATACTGATTGATCCAACACTGTTGCACTTATTGGTTTGTACATGTAGTATATAGTGGCTCATGAATGTAACCAGTCATGTGTATATTGGTACACATGACTGGTAACATTCCCAGAAAGCATGAAAAAGCTTCCATGTTAAGTAGCAGCATGTGAGATGCCATGTTGCAGCCAACTGCACTGGCCTGGGTCTGCTGAACTCTAACAATGGATTATCCAATGGCCCAGATTCAAAACAGTTCTCCACAACAGATGCCACCAAATATTAACATTTTATTATATTAAAAGCAGTTTAGTTTTATGCATTTGGGATTTAAAGATACAGTGAGTGACAAATCAACCCTGATATCAGACATTAGAGATTCTTGTAAACCACACTCCCTGTTCTCTAACTGAAAAACTTTCAGGAGAATTTAAATTACGGGATCTATGTCTGTCCACTTGTGGCACTTTTCTTCACATCACTAACACGGTTAATATCCCAAAGCGCATCCATCTGCCCTAGGGTCTGACCCGGCCCACAGTACCCTCTCTGACCCTTCTGGTTTTTCGTTGGTTGGGTCCCACCACGTTCCTACACTGATGACTTGCCCCCGTCCAAACTGTGCCCGTTCATGACCTTCTATTGGCCAGTTGACCACATGGCCCCGACCTTTGAGATCTTCAGCCACTCGTTGCTCCACACCATCCTCCAAATTAAGGTGCCACTGCTGTGCTGCACAAAGAGTTAATGCTTCCAAATGGTGTACTACTCATGAATGAATATATATATATATATATATATATATATATATATATATATATATATATACATACATACATCATCTAAACCGCTTATCCTTCAGGGTCGCGGTGGGGTGCTGGAGCCTATCCCAGCTGTCATTGGGCGGAAGGCAGGATACACCCTGGACAGGTCGCCAGTCCATCGCAGGGCTATATATATATATATATATATATATATATATATATATATACATACACATATGTATATATATTTAAACAGTGTCTGTGACAAATACATATTGTTACAATGAGTTAAGGTACAGTCTTCTTGTTAGGTGTGTCAAAATTGCTAAGTTACAACTTCTTACATTATACACTGGGCTAATCAGCATATGTAGTTCTTCCTATTGTGTAATTTATAAGGCCTGAGTTAAGTATTTAACTACATGGATGACTACTATCCAAAAGCTATTTCATCATACTTTCATGAGGATTAGGATAAGGATCACTGATATAACCGACATTATAAGAATCTAATTCTTACACATGCTTAATATAAATGAGGACCCTTTGCTGCACAAAAAAATGGTTTGTCAGTTCAATCTAAAAACAATTTCATGTAGTAAAAAGCAATTTAAATGGTTTTACTCAGCTCAAATGAATACTGTAAATTAAACGTGAAGCAAAATTTTAGTTTAGATGAACAAAAGCAATATGTAACATCAATCCAAACGTCAAAAATACTCAAATCAACTTCTGCCCCGTTCCACTTTTTACAGTGTTTATTTTGCAGGTTCAGTGTCATGAACAACTAAGACAACAGTCTGATTTATACATTTCCACATTGGAATCAGATAACTAGGAGGGTCTGTCCATGTATTAACACTGCTTGGCAGACTATAATTTTCAGAGCGAGACCACCATCACAAATTAGCCTTAAATGTGGAGTGTAAAAAGTGGATCAGAGGTGTCTGTGAAACACTGAGCTTAAGCCTAATAGCAGTATCTTCCCCCATGGAGAAACTTACCAGCCTGGTCAAGCTGTACAAACACACGTGGGGCATCAAGTGCAACCTGAGGATTCATGCCAAACTCCAACATATTGAGCAATACCTGAACAGGGAATATTCATTTTATCTTATCTTTTAATCATAAGTAGTCATTTAATTTAATGATCATTTTAGCCATCGTTTGCTACACACATTCAACCTGACACTGCTTTCGTAGACGTTATCTGCACTGACACCAAAACTCTGTTGTAACATAAATTAACCACAGAATGTTCTAATAATAATATTAAAGTATAATGAACTCATAAATACAGCTTCACTCAGTTTTCCAGCTGTCTATATTACCACGGCCTAAATCTAGAAGCTGTGGAGTAAAAAGTAGTTTTGTAGTAGACTACAGATCCAAAAACCAGGCTCACTCATATAATGAACCAAGCTGGGAGGCCTGCTGCCTTCTTCACTAGTAGCATTAACTGCTGAACAGGTTTGGGTTTGAGTTAGCAATGTATGTTAAATTGGTGAGATATTTTAAACACAGCAAAAGGGCTGATTTGTGAGACAAGGGGTTTTTTCATGCTCACTCACTCACCCTTTTAACATTGTGAGTGAGTATACACAATCAGAAAACTGCTGTACAGGTACATTTTATTCCTCCATATTACAAACAATGTAAATTTTAAACTGCCCTTAAGACCCAATTGTGTACTTTAAATGACTTTTACTTTGTACAGTACATTCACTTTCAGGGTAAACAAGCATATACTTAACTACTATTTTTAAATAGAAGGATAGAGTGCATGGAGTCACTTTTAAACAAATAATTCCAAGAGAAATTTCTTACAATAATGTCCCCTAACTAAAGATACTAAAAATGTACGCTTGAGGGGTACCACCCCAGCAACATGAGGGTACCACCCCTGTAACAGTTTAGTACCTTTTCATACTGAGAGTGTAGGTGGATACCAAATTGGTTCAAAGTCAGTGTTCAAAACACATTTAGAACTTCTAACTGACTTTATTCTTTAGACTGACTTTTTAAATCTTTTTGCTTAGAATGACCCTAAACCTTAATTATGTTTATATCAACAAATAATTTAACATTCCATTTGGTCACTAACAAAACAATCATAACACTACCAAAACTTTACAAAAATGTTTTGGTAGTGACTATTTTGGTAGTGACAATTTCAGTTAATTTAGACTGTAAGTCAAAAACGGTAGCCAGTACATGACCAGCAAACACAGCTTCAAACAGTTGCACACGCATAAAATCATAATTTATTATTAAAACATATTTTACCTGCAGAAAATATATGTACAGTAGTGAAATGTTACACACTGACTTTCAGACTTTGGGACATATTTACTTCAAAACAATGAGATCTAACTGCTCACCATGTGGCCATGAGGGACAGGGATGCAGACTCACTTCCCGCTCTAAAATGCAGGGGTGTGGCCAAAAAAGGCTAACTAAAACACTTTGTGTTTCTATAGCATCATTAAAACACAGGACAGGTTTTTATTTAAAAGGTGAACTCATGATAAATCTAAATCTTTCAAATTCACTTTGAAAGTAATCAAAAAAATGTAATAATTTTTTTTTTTAACTAAGTATTATTTTCACAAGTTGAAATTTAGGAGTTAGGGTTTGGGACAGCTGTGTCTACCCTATAAATGATAATTTTGTATATATTCAGCTTATTAAAATCTTGACTAATGCCTTTGTAATCTTTGTAAATATCTAAGGTCTGAAAACTTAATTACTTTTAAAAAAGTAATTAACTGGGACCACAGTTTGAACTATTTCAGTAGAATGGTCTAGAAAAATTTGTATTACAAAGAAAATAACCTTTGGCTGAGTCTATTCCAGAAACTGAAAACTGGGGAAGCATTCTAAATGAGTCATTGCTCCTGAGCCTTTGAAAGAAATAAGGTAGGATCACCCGTCACAGGGCAAAGGGAAGCCAGTCTCACGGTGAAATCCTTGGCTAACCAGTAATGGCGTCAGAAGTAAAAATAAATTGTCACAGAGCAAATGCACAGGATTGTAAAATATCTTCGTTAATACATCTGCCATTTATCTGGCATCTGACACCTGTGCCATTCAAATCACTGGTGCATATTGGAATGGAGAAAGAATGATGAATGAAATGTGGATTCCAGAAAATAGTGTGAGGAATATTTACAGTACTGTGCAAAAGTCATTTATATAAAATTATATGTAAAGTTATTTATCTGGACAGTGTAAACAAAATGTTAATATTAAAAGAATATAAATAAATAACACATTGTGATTTTATGTCTGCCAGTGTGTTAGCTTAAACACTTCCAAAAGTCCAGTATTTACAGTTACAATCAAATACCTGCTTCAGTTTATCAATATTCATAATGTTAAATCAGGTGTGCTGGTGATGGAACTTAATAAATCCATGCAATGGCTGGAGTGCACCAAGGATCAGGAGCCAATCTTGTGATTCACTTGATCTTACACTTAACTACGGTTATTTCTATTTAAGTGTTATACTGTGTTTTACAGGTACAAATTCACTTACTGTCGAGATAAATAATTAAAAACAAAAATTTTCATGGCAAACCTTTACAAACAGCTAATTTTAATATCACAATGAACAGACAGGTCTAACACAAGGAGAACTACTCATTTTTGAGAATTCTAATGGTTCCATACTCCAGTTTCTTTGGAAAAACTGCTCAGTTCAACTCTAAGCTTAACCTTATGATTAAGACACAGTCATCCTAAAATTCATTCTTCATAATGGTTGAATGTGTCTATGCTAAGGTAGCTTACCTGCACATGACCCTGAGGCTGCATGAAGCCTCCCATTACCCCAAAGGAACAGAGAAGGAGGCCAGAGGAAGCCTCAGTAAGCATGGCTGGGATTATAGTGTGGTAGGGCCTTTTCTTAGGACCTACACAGTTCACATGACCAGGGTCCAGAGAGAAATTAGCACCTCTGTTCTACTAGGCAAAGAAAGAAAGAAAGAAAGAAAGAACAGAGTGAACAATAACAATGCACTTGACATTGGACTATAAATCTTACTGTGGGGTAAATGACCTCACTGTTATTCTTTGTTGAACTAATGTTTCTCCCTATAAAAAAACTGACTCATTTACTGCACATGAGTGGTGCAGCATAAGACACAGAGCATATTGGTATTGTCAAATATTACAAAAGACATATCAAGTCTCGAGTCACAAGTTCAAACACTGTCCCCAGACCAAGACATAATCTGAACACAACACAAGTAGTGTCACCATGCAAGACCCACTTGCAGTGAAAATCCACAGTTTCGGGGTACAAGGCCAGTGCCAAATCCCATGTAGTTGCTGTTGACAAAGGAGCAGGCGTTCCCCTCTCGGTCCACCACAGTGAAATACACCGTGTCACTTCCTGTGGGAATCCCATGCTCACACACACTCCTGGCTCTGTGGTTAGAGAGAACAGAAATGAGAACTATTCAGGGTCATTCACTTCTACAAGTGCCAAGTTCTTAAGCAGGAAAACAAGCAAGTCTTAAAAGAGGATTACTGTCAGCAACTGTGATTGAGAAATTTGTGATTCTGAAATGCCACAGGAACAATATAAGTTATGTAAGGGAGCAAAAAAAACTTGCCGAAAACTTGACCTCACTGTTATTCTTTGGTGAACTAATGTTTCTCTCTATAAAAAACTGACTCATTTACCGCCAAATGAGTGGTGCAGCATATAACACAGTGCATATCAGCACTCTTAGATATTACAAAAGACATATCAAGTTATTTAAACACTGTCCTCCACTGTCCTTTTACAAATGATTTTTCACAGATAAAGACTTTATTTGAAAACAACACACTTATTTAATCTGAAAACACACACATGTAAAAAAGTCTTTGAAATAGAAAGTGATTCATTCATTGCTGTTGTGTTTTCTTACACCTGTAAACGACTGCCAGCTCAGAGTATTAAGTAAAATAGAATCTCTTACTCAGTTAGTGCATAGGTTATAAGTACATGGCCTGTTCTACACACCCATACTAATGTCAGTTTAGATTTCCTGTGGCCAACCGAGAGTCTAAAGTCTGCAGTTTATGATCCCCACCTCAGCATCCTATCACAGCGTCATGGCAGGGCGACAGAAAGGAGGGAGAGACCAAAGGGGAGGGGATGTGTAAACAATACTATCTAAAGTAAGCACTGGCACTAGCTGGTACCAGAGAATGAGAGGGAGAGACAGAGAGGGAGAAAGAGAGAGAGAGAGAAAGAGAGAGGGAGAGAGAGAGGGAAAAAGAGAGAACGAGAGATACTCTCAATAAAGCAGATTCTATGTGTTCTTGTCTTACTTGTCCATTTGAATGGACTGGGCTTGCTGCTGAGCGTAATCCTTGGACAAAAGCCCCTCTACAGGCATTTTCACCTGGTCTGGGTCAGAGCTGAAGTGCATGGTGTCAGTCATGCTCAGTTTCAGTACCTCAACCAGGACATGCAGGTAGTCAGGACTGTTGTGACCCAGATCTGCGGGCAACATAAAATGGTCATCAGATCATTCTGTTGTCAAGAGCATACACTGAAAAATGGAAAACGGCAAAGATTGATTTGAAGTGTTCGTGAAGAACATTAGGCCTCAATCACCAATATCTTCCTAATTCTCTTCTCAAATTTGTTCTTGAGAAAAGTTTACGTCAGATTCATTCTTAGGTTGTTCTTACCCAAGAACAAATCCTAAATAAGAAAACACTGGTGAATGTCAGAATCTTCGTAAAAACTACGTAAGAGGGCTTTAAGAAGAAATTTCTTCTTAAGAACAGTTGGTGAATGAGGGCCATAGTTGTTATTCATCTAAACTGTTGTTTTGCTTTATGGTCATATGCTTTAACACATTTTGTCTTAAACAAGGCATACAAATTAACATTTTCTCCATATGAGCTATTAAAAGCATTAAAAAGTAATGTTAGCTTTGTTTAATTTGAACGTAACCTAAACACTTTTTAAGTCTGTAGGCCCGTTTCACCATCTAATAGATTTGAACTAAAATCTAAAAAATTTTTATTTAATTTTATTAGATCTTTACGTTCTTTGTGTCAAACATTTTATACAGTACATCTCACAGAACCTATATGAAATCTAATAATGAGGCTTTTTGAATCAATTCAAAATCTTTCATGAGAGAAATGAGATGCAACTAAGAATCAATTAATCCCTCCCCTCTACAATTCATCATATATTTGAAAGACAAAAATTTGGTTTTCTCATAATTTTTAACCAAAATATAGTGACTTTTGCACGCCTTTGAGAACACCTTTGTTTGACTACATCACCATGTACCTGCAGGGAGGGAAAAATAATATAAGCCAACAATATCATGTTTCACTCCCCTCTCCTGTCACCCCTACTTATAATTGAGTAAAAATGCTCCGCTAGCTAAGAGACTCTCCCTGACACTGTGTTTCACTTGTGGACACAACCCAGTGCAGAATAAAAAGGTTATGATTTCAGGTTCACAAAGATTCTTAACAGAAAATGTGTTGCATCTATTAAAGACACAATTTGTTGTTTATAACAATTATCAGTTGAACAACAAAATACATTCTCAGAATAAAAAATATAGTACTTAACTGTTACTGCGGAGGTACTCTCATGTTTTCAGTACCTTTAGTTAGAGAACAGAATTGTACCATATTCTGCTGGATTTTTTTTTATTGCATTGACTCCACACAACCTGTCCTGACTTTAAATACAGATAAGTAATGAAAAGGTAAAAATATTTACTTTGTCCTTGGGAAAAAATGCCATTAACCTTTAAACTCATTTAAGGAACACAGAACAGTACCCTTTTTCAGTGTATATTTTCACTTTTAAGGGAAATTTTAAAGTGCTTCTTAAATTTTGCAAATATACAAAAAGGGTCAAATGAGGTGAAAGCAGTCTACATTCCACAATGAAATGTTTTTCCACATGGAATTAAAAGGCTGAATACTCATTTTAGAACACACTTCGTACCTTTGATGGGCAAATTTTCAAGGATATTAAGGGCAATGAGAGCTGCCATTCCCTGACTGTTTGGCGGGACCTCCCAAAGTCGCACTGTCTGTGGGAAGAATACATGAGGGCCATTATTCAAAATCACTATGCTTTGCTTGCTGTTCAGCGTGTGTATAACTGATAACAGAGTGGGCTAATAAAAGGGCTGGGCTGCAGTAGGAAAATAGTACAGTCAGAGCAGATTGCTCTCTCTGCCTCTTTTTCTCTCTCACCTACTTTATAATCAGTGTAAAGTGGTGTGATCTCAGCAGTGACGTGGTTCTTCATGTCATCCAAGCTCAGCACACCACCGTTTTCTCTCACAATGTCAACCACCGCCTCAGCAATTCTCCCCTCATAGAAGCCTGCTTTGCCCTGCAGGGCAAGCTCCTTAACATACACAGAATACACACACAACACGATACGACAGCTACCATAAAAAGCACATGGGGTGTATGTCAAATACTATATGTCATTGAGAACAATAAGAAAAGGTCTAGTAATAATAATTAATAATTAATACAGTTCACTAACCTTGACGATCTACAAATACTTTCAAATGCGAAATATCTAGCTCATTAAAAAGATTGGAGTTCTTTTTAAAAGGACTGAATTTTGTTTGATAAATTGGATTTCAATATTTTTTTTTCTCTAGATCAGGCTTTTATAGACCGGAAGGGGCATCCCTGTTTGTTGGCAGTTCTTAAAGTTAATCCAAAGTATCTGAGTAGTATTGATCGATGATATAATCTTAGGTGGGGTTTGATTGTGCATTCTTCTGAACACATTTTTCCATGGTGGACATTGAACTGTCCTCTGATAAGTGGAAATGAATAACTTGTCAGTTGAAAACGTGGTAAACGTGCTAAAATGAGCTATTTTCAGTAAGGTTAAATAAACAGAGACAATACTGTACAGAGGAGTGGTTTAGCTCACAGTTATCACCACCAGTAACAAAAGTATGTTGTATTTTCAAAGAATTCTTTCAAAATTCTGTCAAAAGAGGAGATTCTCAACTTTCAGTCAATACCACATTTATGTTTGTAAGTTTTGACATGTTTGTATTGTTTTTGAAAATAGAACAAACAGTAAAAGCATTTTTTTGTTGAGACAGAATGGAAATGTACAGGTAAATGTAATTTATCATATTACTATGTAATTAATAATGTAATTAAGTATATTAATTACTATTCAAAATGTTTGGAATTATTTGTAATATTAATCATTTGTGTTATTTTTTAGAAAATAATAACGTATACTATGTAGCCTTAAATCTTATAAATTTAAAACTTACAAACCTGATGATGTACTGTGTATTACATTCTGTAATTATTCATTTACAGCAATTTCTATCAAGATTTGATCATCTCTTTTCAAGTATTATTTAAAAGCTATGAAATTGCACAGGAGAAGCATGTAGAATTTTCTACATTTATCTGCAGCCAGACAGGTTTTATATATCTTGAAAACATTGATGCCAAACTTATGTGTAACAGTTTTCAAGAACTTTGTAAAATGCAACATACTTTCAACATATCATTTGATAACTGATAATACAAAATTTAAAATTTGAACTGATTGATTGTGCATACCTGAAGGGTACATGCGAGGTTGGGATTGGTCATGACTTGCCCGTGTTTGGGCGGCTGGTTGTTAATGAGTAAATCTGCACCCAGCTCCCTCCCAGCTGCTCTCAGGGTTTCAGTACCCCTGGCCCAATGGTATGCTGTAATTTCGGCCACAGGGAACCCCCTCTGAGCCAGATCTATAGCCGGCTGCAGGAGGTCAGCTAGAGACAGCTACCAAGTTCATAAAGCATAGCATGCAATTAGAAACGTTTTCAGATTCGAGCACATGAAATACCAAAAGAACACATTAAATAGCTACATACTGAGTGATGAGAGGTTAAAGTGCACAGTGTGTACATGCAAACAGGCAAAATTATGAGTAGAAGAAATCCATAAAAATAAATTGGAACTCTTCCATTGAAGAAGACACGGAAACCCTGACTCACACTAGCAGCCCTGGAAATTCAACCTTCTGCTGTTGTGCATATGCCTAAAATTAAGCGCATGGGTGTGGGGGCCATTTGTTGTTTCGCTAGGAGCTGTATTTAAAACTCATTGTGTTGTGAAGCACTGGGGTATTTCAAATAGTAGACATTCCTTTTTAGCACTGACACATGGGTGGGGCGATCCCGAGTTAGTTAAGATTGAACATTGCCAACTAAGATGAACATCATACAGATCAATTGCACAAAACTGCACTGTAACAATAACTGTAATACAGTTTCCAGCAATATACTGTATTTTTTAGGGACACTCTATAATTTCCATTTCCAGAATGATATTTTATTAGGCAGAATATTAGTAGGGCAGGACAAAGGGGAAAACTGGGACTCTTATCAGCTTGAGCCTCTATATCTTCATTGTAAGCCGTTTTCCCTCTGTCACACATGACTAATAACATACTGGGGGACAGCTACTCAGGAGGCTTATGTGTGAAAACTGTTTTGTTGTGTTCATTATTTACTCATACATCAACAATAATAATTACAATTTAATTATTGATTTAATCAATAGTACATCCTGGTCAGTAGAGGTTCACCAACCCATCACAAGGAGATTCAGAGGCTTTATTGTGTTAAATTTTTCTGAAACATATAAGCTGATTGTTTTTTTTTTCCAAGAACCTTAAAGCAAACTGGACAGTTCTGGCTTGAAAATTTAATATTTCAGCACAGGATTATCCTGTCTGTGTTTTGTATTTCTTGAGTTTTGCTTCTGAATAGTGTAAGAGAGATTTTAAGCTTTTTAAAAATGTATCATGTTAGACACGGAGATCATGCTAAAAAGTGATGAACAAAGTGAAAGTGTCTCACTTTAGCAATATTCACTCTACATTATACAGTAGTCTATGATAGATATTAGAATTTACAGTACTATACTGTACTGTATATACTGTGAGTTGCCAAGAGGCATATTGTCAACAAAAGTTACAGGAAAACAGTTAAAAGCACTAAAAAGCATAGTTTTTTTGTGTTTTGTTATACATCATGCACTATGTGGATCACATTAACTGAAGATATTAACCAATTACACAGTATTTAGCAGCAGAAATGATACAAGGAACAAAAACTAACAACATTTTGCACCGAACCTTATCAAAAACAGGAATAAAATCAGTTTTTAAAAATCTGAAAAACCAAATGATAATAATAACCTACAACCATGAGTCTAACCTGGCCACACCACTGTAAATGATCTGGCTATGCCCCTGGCCCCCAGACTACATCTGACTTACTGACTATTGTCACACAATTGTTATTATACAGTTTTTAATAAAAGCGCAAGAAAAAACTCTTCACTCCAAATAGAGATACTGGAGTGGTCATGCAGTGCGATAGTAGACTATGTATCATCAACTTCTCCTAATACACTATAATACAATATTATAATACGATGGGCAAGTTCTTCAAACATGTTAGTATTTTGACTGAATTTTATGGATGGAGTACCTTTTTACTACCAAATAATGCCACCGTGTCACACCAACATGCCGCTGCTCCAGGTACCGTGACATTGAGTGCATGGAAGGTGGGAGTGGGGTTACTTTGACTGAAGCCATACTGCTCCATCAGCTCCAGGGTTTGAGCTGTGGGGCTCCTGCCACTGACACACACAAAAGTAACCATATTAAGAGCACAAAAGTAATTTTAAACAACCATGTGTATTAGAGGTAGAGGTGCCTACTAGAACTCCTTTTCACAAACCTGATTATTTGTCACTGTACTCTTTGTCTCACCTTCCATTAAGTCCTCGCACCTGTCTAGTGACAGCATCATAGAAGAGGCAGAAAGCATCTCCACCGAGGCCTGTGCTCACAGGTTCTGTCACATTCAAGGCAGCTGCCACGGCCACAGCAGCATCGGCAGCGTTGCCGCCTCTCTTTAGAATGTCTGTGATGGAGAGAGTTATTTTAGCAGGCCAGACCACTTCTTAAGATTCTAGCTCTTAGTACACCTAATGGCTAGATGTCCCTGAGAGCTCTGACGGGACCCTCTTAAGCAGAGCCCCTCTAAGGTCTCCTTCTGAATCTAACATAATCAGTGCCACACCATATGACAACATTCACAGATATGTCGAGAGCTCACCTAGTCCAATGTTAGATGCAAGAGGCTGACTGGAGGCAACGCAGCCATTTAGGCAGATGACTGGTGATCGGTGAGAGGAGAACACCAGACGGTCTTTCATTTTCATTTGTTTGCTTCAAAAAAAAAGTCCTGTAACTTCAAGTTATTTGTTTACAACAGGCCTGCCATTCCATTACAGTATGGAACACTCAGCTCAGCCGCTGTTAGGTACTGGATAATGTTAAAAACAGACCAATAAACTGACTTTCAAAGTAGGGATATAACGTGGGGCACTTTTTGGTTGTTACACCATGCCAAGGAGTCTTAATCGAAGAAATCGGTGTTATGTAACGGACACTGAGGCACCCATACAGTGATATAACAGACATGTTTACAGTGGCTGATGTGAGGAGTACTTCTGTTTAAATACAGCAATAGTAAATAAATATAGTTATAACTGGCTGGCGTAGAAAGCCCTGCCATTTGTATTTGAACACCACCCTGCGCAAACCTGCTCCTTCAACAAACACGTCCTGAATCGATGTTATCGGTGTTCGATTCAGTAAGGCTAGCAGGCTCCTCTATTAGCAAGGCTGTTTATTAAATGTAACAACAGTTTCGTTCAGAATGTAATGAAAAATAGCATTGTTGTCAAATATATTGCCTGTGACACCAGTCGAGATTAAGTGAACAGGCAAAAATTAAGATTTAATATGGGAATTATTAGCCTGATCCACGTCTTACCTTGCACTCATTTTAGTTCCTGCAAAGTACAAAGTCTACTTGCACAATAGCGTAATAAAGGAATGTAACTGCTACAGTCTAAGCCGGCTATGTCGTTCATAAGCTGTGACTAAATAGAATATTGTATTCTGAGCCTACAGAAATCTGTTTCAGCAGAGCCACCACACAAATACATATTGACCACACTGCTTGTTCAAACAACATGGGTGTTGTGTTGACTTGATCTACGTTCTAAACCAACAGCCCTGCTAAAAAAAAAATCATAGAAACCATTAAACGTTTCCATTGGCTTCTGGCTGTATCCAGTAGCTACTAATGGTATTTTGTGTTTTCCTGATGGATTGATATCACAGTGCAAAGGATTCTAATGGTTTAACGGGTGTTCTGGGTCTGATTCCAGATGCATTTGATAGTGCCCTAAAGGGATCTAAAGGTATTCTTTAGGAAACTAGTGATTTTCTAATAATAACCCATAAACCAATTCCCATTACAATGGTCTCTTTTCAGCAGGGAGACAGTGTGTTTGTGTATCTGTATGAGAGAAACAGGGAGAAAAGGAGTCCCTGTGGCATGTTAGAGTATAAAGTTACTCAATATGGTCAAAAGATGTTATAACGTGCGAAGCAAATGACAACAGTGATGATCATATTATTTATTTTGTGTAATACCATTAAACAAAACAAATAATATCATCATCACTGATGATGCCAGTATCTTTGTAATAGTCGCTTTATTGTGTTTTCATACATTTATAAAGATAGTTTTAAGGCCTGTATGTGTCACCTTGAACAACCGCTATCTATGCACTAAGAATTATGGGCTGACTCTGTATCTCTCACCCCAAAAGGCATTTTGAGAAAGGGGTGTCAAACAATCTTAAAGTTGAGATGAGCACCCACTAAAAGAGTAGAACAAAGCAGAGTGAAAAGTGAGAGGGCAGGGACACGCAGTGGTAGAACATTAACAGACAGATCGTTGTCATAGTGCAACAAATGCTGTAAATCTCTCATGGAAGTGGTGACATCACACTGCAATAGTATATATATTCACACAAGCATACATCTTACCTCAGACGAGCAGGTACCAGAAACTGAAGAGGACCCTGGGATAGAACAGACATTTGGACCATCTTGGACTGTCATTGTTTTACAGCTTAAAAAAAAGACTGAAACATGTGTTCTGGGAGTTTTGCTAAGTGTTTGGGGATCACCCTCATTCCTCTGGCTATTCTTTGCTTCCTCTGCAACATTCTGCTCTTTTTCCCTGGAGGCAAACCTGCCGCAAACAATGACAACATTACAGATGAGGTCTGGTACTTTGGAGGTATACTGGGCTCTGGTGTACTGGTGAGTGAGCTGAAAAAAGTTGGGATTTGCTGTAAAAGTATTAGCAACCAGGCCTTTTCGTCATATAAATTTGCAGATGAAGAAAAAGTGCATAGTAGGTAATTAATAATTTGCAAATTGTACAGTTTTTAGGCATGGACATTTTTTAGGAAAAAAAACGAAAAACAAAATTACTTCACATTCACTCTGAAGCCAGTGTTAACCTGAAGGATTTCAAAATGTGTTTATTCTCTTTTTTCTCTTTCTTTTCTCTCTTTTTTTATTTAAAGATGATCTTTCCAGCGCTAGTCTTCCTGGGCCTGAAGAACAATGACTGCTGTGGCTGCTGTGGCAATGAGAGCTGTGGAAAAAGATTTGCGGTGAGGAGTCTCTCATTCTCTCTATCCCTGACACACCCACTTCTCACCATCACTTACTCACTCACTCAGCTCCGAAACCACACTTAGACAAAATTACTCAGATGCCAAAGGTTCGCTGTTCACATGATGCTTTTGAAAAAACCTGTGATATTTTCTCATGTAATCGCAATTATTCTTGAGTCTTTTTCAATGCAATATTATGAAATAAAAACATTTTTCAGATGTAAGATTTCAGGGATTCACTGAAAAGTTGTTTGAGCCTTCCAAAAATTGGAGACGGTTAATTGCCAGCTAAAAATAAATTTGCAAGGGCCACCACAATAAAAATGCATATATGTAGCAAGTTTCCCAGACATGGATTAAGTCTAATCTTGGACTGATTTGCAGTGGCAATGGTTAATCATCATTATTAATTCTGTTAAGTGCAGACTTAGGCTTAATTTAGGTCTGGAGAAACTGACACATAATGTAAAAAAAGCTTTTCTGTCATCAATGACTGGCTTTTTTTTTTAGCTTATTGTCTGTTTTTAATCTCTCTCTAGATGTTCTTTTCTGTTATCTTTGCTGGAGTGGGGCTTCTGGGAGCTGGTTACTCTTTCATTGTGTCAGCGGTTGCCATCAATCGGGGACCCAGGTGTTTAACAAAAATCAATGGCTCATATGTATACCCATTCGTTGATGGGTAAGTACTTTAAAATAATGTTAAATTTATAAAGATTAAAAAAGTCTGGTTCCATTGACTTATATTAAGAATAAAGTAGGCTTTTTCCTTCTACTGTAAAGTTATCGTTTTGGAGATACGAGGTTTTCTTCTGACAACAGCTATATATATACTATTTTCCAAGTCATTTTAGGTCATTTTTTCTTTTAGTCCATTCATCATGAAATTACATACAAAGTAAAGGGTAACAGGTAGTTTCAAATTATAAAAACTGAAAAACACAACTGTTTTTACTCCTAATTTTTAGTTTCAGTGAGAACATTCTAGAAATAGTTTGTATTTACGCCTATTAAGTCATACTGACACTTCCAGCTCAGACATACGTAACTGTAAGATATTTCTGGAGAATTTTGCTGTAAATCATGTGAGGCTGAAGCAAAATTGCTCTCATCTTCTCTCTTTTTCTAAATGCCTGTTTTGTTCTCTTAGTAACTACCTGTCCAACCACACTCTGTGGGACCAGTGCTTGGAGCCTTCAGGAATTGTGACATGGCACTTGACGCTCTTCTCCATGCTGCTGATTATGGGCCTGGTGCAGGTGGTGCTGTGTGGGTTCCAGGTCATCAACGGCCTGATTGGAACAATCTTCGGAGACTGCTGTGGATGCTGTGGGGTAAGATGAAACACACTTTATGTAGCAATCTGTTACAACTTATGATGATCTAAAGAGACACACCTGTACTTAAGCCTCTACGTAATGGTACAGGTACACAAAACACTAGACAGAAAAGTCGGTTTGGTTCTCTTGCTCACATACAAGCTTAGAGGTCTTCCTGTATTAGATAGTGTACATTTATCATTAACAGTTACACAGAAAAACCAACAGTGTCAAATCAGTTTTTTTCAGTTAACTGTACAGGTCGTGTACAAGGCCACTACTGTACAGCCGATAGATTTTTAGTGACGTTGTTGTGCACTGACTCAAACAGACTTTCCTTTATCTTTTCTCCCACAGGGTGGAGATTAAAGCCTTCAGAAGAAGTAACAAGATTTAACATGAGAATAATTCATTAATAACAACCATGTTGAATGTTTTTTTTCCTACTTTCCCCTCCAAGTCCTGTTTTCTATTTATAATGTTTATATTGCTCATTCTCTCATATCTCCCCTCTATTCAAGTGCATCTTTTGCTTGAGGCAAAAGATACAGCTTATGAAGGCAAAAGAGAATTTTAATATTTATTTAAAAATGGTTTTTTTTTAAATCACTGTCATTTTGATTTTAGGAGGGGTTTTTGTTTGCTTTCGTTTTTAAAAATTGCAAATGTATTTGGAATCTAATTTATACGCTGCTTTTTACACCGAATGACAGCACTCACTGCAATTGCTGTATGTAGTGACACTAATATTATAGAATGTGAAAATTATACATTTGTTTGAATACTTGATACCAAATATATTCTTCAATAATAAAAATGAATAAAAAGCTAAACATAGAGGTTGTCTTCATTTTCACTCATCAAGTCTCGTTCTTCAAGCAAAACAGGAAACAGTAGTGACAGAGAAGCAGAATGATAGGACAGGATGTGAAAGTCCCTTTGGGATTCCTCCAAAGGCCTGAATTTTGTTGGGAGACAAAAAAAACAACAACATCTGGCCATCTTCAGTAGACTCAAACTACACATGAGAGACTATTTAGTAAGCATTATTCAAAGCATTAAACCTCCTTTGGAAAATCGTATATGTATTACTATGAAATACACTTTCAAAAATATAATGTACATCTAAGCAAGTTCTAATTACTGAGTTACTGGAACTTTTGTTTCTAATTTGATTAATTCTAATTAATGATTATGCCATTTTAAAACTTCGTTCCACGCTATTCATATCAATAAACAGGATACTGTTAGCCAGCTACACTATGTAAATATTGACTTTTTCCTTGTCCTTTACAGTTTAGCCTTTGTGTTGCTGTTTTATTATTTGATTTTACAAGGGCAATGATGTTCCTCTTTATGACAGAAGGCACACAGCCAGTACAGCACCTTAGAAAACATTAAAAGGAAAACTCAGCAACAATATGTGCGGTCTTCATGAGGCCTTTAATCAATGGTAAGAAATTCTGTGTTAGCAGGAGACTGCATAATAGTAGACAGCATATTACATTTTCAGAACTTTGACCTCTCAGCAGTGATCAAACAGTGAGTTATTCAAGGTGTGAACAAAGTGCTTAAATTGCATGTGACAAAAATAACTTTATGATAAGTGGCCATAAAAATAGCATGTTGATAAGACTTTTATGTGCAAAACTTCAATGCATTCTACTTTGAGATTCTGTTTACAAACGCTCTGCTTCAACTTCTTCAATTCACATGGGGATTTCACTGGCATATACTTGATTATGATGCCCTCTGGTGGACAGTAGTATAACAACAGCAATAGAAACAGCAAAAGAAAATAATTTAGGGGGGGTGTGCATACTAGGATATATGCAAAGCGTGCTAGTAAGATTTAAAGCATTAAGCTTTTAAGCCTGAGGAGCACATAAAGTCAATGTGAATCAGCAATCATAACACATTTTCTTTCCGCACTGTAAGGGTGGTGGGAGGGGGAGGTGAAACACGATATTTAAGCAATAGAACACGAGAGGGAGTGTGTTATCGCGAAATAACATCACGGCTGTGATTTGGTCGCAGGTGGTCGTAGATCATCACAGACGTGATGTTATAGCGATAACACACGACCTCGAGTGTTCTATATAAGTGCCACATAAATAAAGTAAGAAATTAATAAACTGAGCCGTGAACGTGGCATTTAATATGTTTTCATGTTAGCAGTTCCTTCCGCCAAATTATAGTTCCTTAACAAGCAGCTTGTTGCTACGTCAGAGTAATATCACTCCCCTGCTTAGCAACGGCGTCTCAGCGGAGTGATACAGTGTTTGTGGAAAAAAAACGTGATGTTATGGCAGAGAACTTGTAGAGATGAGAATTACCACTCTGCAATGTCTTCCGGTTTTCTCAAACGCTAGAGGGCGCTCCCGAGTGAGTCCAAAATGAATGGGTTGATATGGAGCATTTGAGCAAAATCAGTTTATAAATGCTTAAACATTTTTAATGTAAAATAATACAATCATTTCCTGAACACAGAACAGCATAAAACACTTTAACACTGCTGTTACACTTTTAAGAGCTTTTAAACTCGAGCTATAGGAGTTTAAAACGGCACCTTATGTATATTCATAACGTCTGTGAGCGCGAACAGCCAATGAGCTGCTCCGCTCGCCAATCAATCATCACGCTCTAGCACTGAAGCCCTTCTGCTGCCCAAAACCCGTTTGCTGTAGAAAAAAGGAAAAATATAGGTAAGATTTCTTTGGTGTTTTAGTGAAAAACATCTTTCTACTTCCTAAAATTAAAGGAAAGTTCTGGTCGAGTGATTAGAAACTATTTTAACTTTTTGCTTTTAGCCGTTGAGCGCTATTCACTCCCATTTATTGAGGACTCACTCGCGGGCGCCCTCTGCTGTTTAGCAGTCCTGTTTTTGATATAACGGGGGAATAGGAAGTGGCCAGGCTCCTCATAAACCGGCTCTGGTTATGGCGAAATAACAGCACGGTTAGAACGCTTCTCAACCAATCAGCTTGCGTGGCCGGAACTAACAGTTGTATAATGTTCGTTGGTATGATTTAACCCTCACCCCCTGCACAGTAACGTAATTAAAACATTTTCGAGTGAAGCACAGATCACGATTGTCTGATGAAAGATTACACGAAAAAAGAATGGTCTTTTGAGCAGTATGGTAAGGTGAATTGTGCTTAATGTGACTAGGTACATGAACAAACAAGATACAAGGTACTGTAGGCTGACTTCAGGTTGACTTTAAAACAAGCAAAATATACACAAATACCATCCATTTGTGGTAACACCTTTTATTTTTTTTTCTCAAAAAGTTACACGTCATTGTCAGAGATTTCTTTGTGAGGTTATAGTTCTCAGAATCATCTCCATACTTCCCCCAAATACAGTAAACTGTCATTTTGTTTCAGTGTGTATATGTGGGTTTTCCGAGCCTCCCAGCATGCTTTCAATGTCCACATACCCTGGATTCTAACAAACAAAACCTCCCCATGCTACTGTTGCTAAGCAGCGTGCTATACAACCGTGTCATACATAATGCTACAGAAAACTGCCCATTCCATACCACTCAATAAACTACTCATAAACAACGTGTTCCACACCACATGTTTCATGGCCACTCAGACTTTGGCCTTTATTCATTTTCATACCCATGTTCACTTTGAAAGACACATCACGAAAATGTTTTGCTTTAACATGGTCAGATGATCAGATGCGAACACGATGCCCGTTGTCCAAACGTGAACAATGACCTGTGCGCCACACTCCCCCTTGTTCCACTAGCATCCTCTTCTTTAGCCCTGGAATAACAGCTCATTACTTAGAACTAAATAACAAGTAGCCACTCAGTAGCCGCTCTGTTATGAAGGATCTCAATTGCTTAGCTGTTGACCAAAGGCTCAAGACCGTTTCACAAAGTGAGACTCTGAAGAAAGTGGACATCTGGGTTCCAGCATGTACTCACTCTTCTTACCCAGTACTTAACCATTCGATCCTGTCTGAAGGATGTCATGAGCTCAGTTTGACCTACAATTACTCCTTCCCAAAACCCCACAGATTCACCTCTCGCCACCGCCGCCCCCCCCCAACTGTCACCAGTATACAAAATAACAATATGCTGCTTAGTCACTATATGGTGGGTCTACATGCCACCAAAGCTAGGAATAGAAAACAATTTATTTAACATCCAATACAAAAACATTAGGCTGATATAGAAAATGTCACTGGATTTCAGATGGGCTTAAGAAACAAAGCAAGATCATGTGTTCACCCATGCTCATCCAGTTTGAGTGTTCTTTCAATCCCCCAAACTCAGACATAATAATCTCTGGCTTTAGAAAATACTATTTTGTTGCATACTCCCTGCAGATACTATGGAAAACTGTTCACCACTGCACTGGAGGCAGTCCCACTACGCCAAAGACCAACAGAAAGCCTCACAGTACAGTGAAGACACACAAAGCAGGAACCTTATATGAAAATCTTAACTTCAACATTTAAGATCTAACTCAATCCCTCACTGATTTGTAGTGCTTTGAAATTTCAATTTCATAAAAAAATCCTAAAACTCTATTAAAATCATAGCTCTTGATAAATACTAAAATGCAAACTCTATATCAAAAGTCATAAAATGCACCAGATGCCAAGGGACACATCTAGGGTATTTTACTAAAAAAAAAGGAATACTGTAGCAGTACATAAAAAGTACATGGTATAAAATGTATGTCTACAAATGCACACTGTCGCATTTCAGAGGCATGAGCTTACTTGATACGCTAGCTAACTGTAATCAGCTTAAGTACAAACTTGGAAATGCAGACAAACTATTGCTTCTTTAAAAATTAAACTGACTACAAAGTCACAACTTAAAGCTTTTAGAGTCATGATGAATACAGTAGGAAACATATTTGGTATCTGTAAAGAAAAGGAAACCAACTTTGTTCATAAGGCCGCTTAGTTGAACAATAAAGCACCCCAATGTTGAATTGGCTGATGTGTTTGCCAACATCACTGAAGCCTATACGGTCTCCATTTTATAGTGGAGACAGTGGCTCCCTCTGCTGGTGGCTATCAAGTGTCCCAGTGCTAACACCAACAAGGAGACTGACAGCCACACTCACTCTATGAATAACCACATTTCCCAATCATGTCCATAGACAGAGGAATGGCATATTTGATCGACCTACACACAGTGGAGGTAAAACTCTACTCTATCCTACAGTATATACAAAATGATCCAACTTTTGTTCTATTGAGCACACTCTACCTGAACAAATTTGATTGACACATGTTCATATATATTTTTTTTGTTCTTAGGCTGAACACTTTGGTTTATATTGCCCTCTTTGCTCAGTATTTAAACAGACACATTACAAATAAGAGAGCTGGGAGACACTGATTGAATTAAAATCCAGAAAGGTAGCCCAGGTGCTAAAAGTCTTTAGCCTTTCATTGGCCTGACAAAACTTTAGAGCCAGGTGAGAAAGGGCTCGTTCTTGCTCAGGACAGACTCCACATCGCTGAGGATGGGCATGAGGTCTGTGCCCTCCAGAGTGCCCAGGTCCACATTAGTGCCTGGCATGGAGTCAAGGAAGTCAGGGAACCGGCTTTGCTGAGGCACGTTCATGTTGACTGGCACCATGCTGTCTCCTACAGATAGAGGTGAAAGCCGGTTTGGTTAGTCTCAAATTCCCTTTAAGCTTGCCTTTGCTTATAAAACCATATGAAATGTATAAGACATCCAAAACATTCATAACACAAATTCATTCATGTCACCCTTGAGCCCTTCCCCATATATATATATATATAAATATATATATATGAACTTATCAAGAGACTACATTGATGAGATTTGATACAATTCACTTTACCTGTGTCCATCTCCTCCATGTTGTTGAGGAAGTCCTCAGGAGTAGTGGGGATGCTATAGCAGCCCAAGCCCAGGCCACTGTCTGTGCTCTGTTCACGTGAGTGGTACGGTCCACTATGGAGGAGGAGGTGGGGAGAGGGTGGGAGAAACATTCATTAAACAACAGGAAACAATTGTCATGGCCAGTCTCATAGCCACTCCTGTCCTCTGCCAACTACTCTATAGAGCCCTCTCACTTGGCATTTCTGCCAAGTCCAGTGAAGCATCAAAACTTCCTCAGCCACTAACTAGTGAAAGGCCATGAAAGAGGCTAGTGTGGTTGTAGCAGTGGTTCTCTCAGATCTGCACACCGAGGGACAGTCCACTGTTTTAAAGCCTGGAGCGAAGAGCCAGAAGAAGTAGGCCAGACTCAGCATTAGGTCTCAATGAGAAGCTTTATAGGAAATGGATGGCTTTCACTGGAACACTCTGACTTGGAACATACTCAGAGAGCAGGCAAGAAAATCTGCGTTTGATTCACTGACAGTGCCCAATAGACACTTGGTTTAATGGCTTAATGCCAAAATCAAATAAGAGGGAATCAAAGAAAATAAACAATTTTGTGTTCTGAGTGATCAAAACATGTTCTCTGAGCTATAATGAGGTGAAAAACCTTGGACAAAACTCTAGTATTGAATACTTAAAAGCATCCACTGCTTTTTCAAAAAGCAAATTCAAGACATTCATTTTATGAAGATAACACAAATGCAAAACTGCTTCACAGCTAGGATCCGATTGTTCCTCAAGAAATGTTATGTTATGTACTTAATTATCCTACGAGGGAAATTTGTAATTTTGTTGCCTTGCTATGTCTAGTGTGGAGCACAGCATTACCAGCAGAAACATATCATTGTCTCAAACACCAACTTAATGGTTTGCTAAAAGAGAGCTTGCCTGTTCAGGAAAGGGTCTGAGCCACTGCTGGGCATGTTGCCCTGGTTCATCGGAGCTGGATTGATGGCAGGAGCCACGGGCGCCATGTTGTCTGAGTCCATGGGCATCTGTCTGCAGAGCGCCACCTCCTGAGGGAAAAGAAACACTGTAACCTGGTTTCAATGCATGATATGAACTTACTTTTACACAGCACAAGCTCAACTTTAGCAACTTCATACTTTGCTAATTACATAGGTGTTCAAAAATTTATTTAGAAGATTTCAAACCATAAAAACAAAAAACTTTTAGTACAATGCTTGGGCAAGTTAAAAGCAACAACTATCTGCAATGATTGTATAATATTTCACAGGAAATCTTATTAAATAAACAATTTCAGAGCCCAAAGTGTCGTTAGCTGTAAAAGAACGAATGATGACAAAAACTTCCTCAAATATTCAGAGACAGACTCTGAGTTGACCCAGCAGCTTGAAGGGGGTTTCAACCAATCAGTTAAGAAAGAAAGCAGTTTCAAGTATGTGTCTATGTGTGTGTGTAAATCTCTGCAGGTAACAGGATCTCCATGTCACCTTGGGCTCAGAGTCTGGCTGACTCATGGTAGGTATGCAGCAGTCCAGGTAGTGTTGGAGTGAAGATTTTGTAGGCCTGTAACAATTATTACTAATTATTACTTATTGGCTAATAAGCCAATATGGCCACTTGATAGATGCATACAACAAACAAAAAGAGACAAATTGTTAATCACAATTATTTCTATCACAAGTAATCGTCAGACAGCCCTAAAGCTTTGTCTTTGCACTGAGCTGTGTGAACAGAGGGGAAGTCATGGTTGCCCCACTAGCCCATTTCCCTTACCAGCTCATATATTGCGTCTGTCCTGCAGCACACGGCAACGTAAAGTGGCAGTTTAAGACAAGGATGAAGTCTCACAACAGACAAGGCATGTTTATGTAATAGAGGATTTTGGACTGTATAGTCTGAGAGCAGAAAATTTAATTTCCCTACTATGCAGGAACAGTGACCGTGAACATGAGTTGCATGGCACCATTTGTGAACGTGCTTTAATTAAACTCAGTGCTATGTTTTTAGGGCGTAGGCCACTAGATGAACAGCTGCAGGACCGCAGTCCTGAGGAAAAAAACAGTGGAAATCTTCCAGTGCCAAAAGTTGACACGACTTGACTGACTCATCAATTTTAACACAGACAGGCCGGGAAAAAAAACACAGATGTTTTCACCTTCCCTCTCCCCTCTCTCTCTCTCCCCCTCTCAAAAAACTTTTGTGAAAAGTTCTCTGTCTAAAGACCAAAAATTTGCTTTGGTGTAGTATGTAAAATACATCCAAAGAACGTCTGGGTGAGCTAAACATCTCTAGTGTGAGTTAACACTACAGCACCTCACAGACGGCCAGTTTGGCAGCCTTTTCGTAAACAGTCCCACTGACAAATTACTGATGCTCAGTATAAACACTCGTCGTGTAAATCTGCCCTGTTTCTCTGTTGTGGGCTAGTGCTGTACACCAGGTGCAGCAAGAACAAAATGTACCCACTACCAGACCACCAGGGGGCACCAAAACAGATTACCCAACCCCTGTGGCCAGTGAGGGTGGGGGGTTCGAGTCGAGGTAGAAAGTTAACACAAACAAGGCCCTTTTCACTCACGACCTTCTCCGGGAATTACTGAAAGACGCATTATCTGTGCTGCTGTTAGGAACAAGTGTTAGCCACGAGAAAGAGGGAGGAAAGGAAAGATGACTGACTAAGTGATTGCGATTAGGTCTCTCCTGTCCTGGGCTGCATAAACAGAGGGAAGACTTCAACAGGATGCCTGCAGAGCACACAGCAGAGGGGAAGCACTGACTCTCCAAACAAAAGGCATGTGGCTCACATGTTTTTATTGGATGGGGCTCTGTGTTTTTCCCCCTCGGACTCTAAGCCACCCCCTTTCCAGGCACTGCATGTTGTCTGATAACATGAAGTCAGTCTACTTATCAAAAGTGTAGGGAGTACAGAAAGACATCCCTCTATTTGGCCTAAAAGAACCACAATATTTTTGAGGCAAGTTCAGCACACACAAAAAAACACAAATTTGTTATTATACTATGATGATAGAATATACATATACATACACTCATATATCCCACATCTGTATTTTATGGGACTAGCACAAACAGCACGTTTTACGTCCATCAAAGCACAAGCCTTTACAACCAGCTGCATGAGTGAAGTGTAGAAATCTATAGAGATCCCACTTTCTATAACATTCTAAAGTATATTTAAAATGTAACTTAACTAAGCGTGATGACCTTTTTGGTGTGGTGGTTACGGAAGAATAAAAACTTAAAATTTAAATCAAAAAAGAGTTTCAATCGAAAGAAATGAGAAAAAACAACTCATATTCCTGCCTGAAGTAGTTTTGTGATGGAGCTGAGTAAAAAGGTCATTTTGTCATGTTCAGACCATGTAAAGGGGAGCAGGTATTTTGAAATGTGTAAAAAGTAAAAAGAATAAAGGAAAAGAAGAAAATGGATTCGACATCACAGCGATAATATTTAACAAAAATTAATTAAAAATAATTTTTGAAGCCTAACCTTAAGAATAGAACCTTCATTCTAAATAACAAAAAGGTTTTTGCGTTTTTAGTTTTAAAAATGAAATGGGTAGCTTTTGTTAAAGGCACTTTACAAAGTCAGGATTATTTTGTTGGTCCTTACATTGTACCTTTGTTTCTCTCGTTTTCATATGAAGTCGAAGCATTTTGTCATAAAAATGTATGAAACCAACACATATATATAGATACACACAATCTTATCCTCACCTGTCTCATCAGTTCCTCCTGCCTCCTCTGAATGCGCTCTCTCTCCAACTGGATGCGCTGCAGCCTCATCTTCTGTTGGTGTTGCTGCTGTGCACTCAGGGAGTTAGCCATGTTCATCATGCCAGGCTGAGCGCTCTGCTGCTGGGGCACAGAGCCACTGGAGCCCAGGGCCTGAGACTGGGCCTGCACCTGTGCCTGCTGCTGCTGCTGGACATGCTGGAGATGCTGTTGGTGTTGTTGATGCTGTGACATCACTGTGAGGAGACACAAAACGAACTTTAAATGACATTTTGTGCACAGGGTTGGCTGTTGACTCTTGGCTGTTTACTGGAGACATCACAGGAAATTTCAAGGGAGCAGTGGACATCAGAAGAGCCGCTCACTGTCACTGCACACCAGTGAAACCCATGTGCTTGGTGAGAAAGTAGTTATGGACAAAGAAAGATGATCCAGAGATGACCTGAGGCGCCTCAGCACACAACAGACGCACACACACTAAGACGGCTCCCAGACGCTGTCAGCACAAGGAGTGTTTACTGTTAAAGATGACGCAAAGCTCTCCTTCAGACAGTTTCCTCTCTCACTCACTTACATATGCACACACACACACACACACACACACACACACACACACACACACACACATACACACATACACATAATGGCTCCAGGAAGAAGACAAAGTCCAGCCTGTAGAACAGGATCGGACTGGATCGGGGCAGCTATGCACTCCCACACAAACAGCAGGCCCACTTACTCTAAACTGCACTGCAGATGTGAACAGGCACGGAGCTAAAGCACAGATTTAAGCATAGTGGAATGCTACACTCATATATACTTCCTGGGGGTAGTCGATAGCAAAAGACTTCCATGCTGTGCTATTAAATACCAGCATTCTGCATGGAAGAGATGGGAATACCAGTTAGTCCACCTCTAGTTGGTATTCTCATTTCTTCAATGCAGAATGCTGGTATTGATTGTTTAGATTTTTTTTTATATTTAAGCATTAACATGGATACTGTAAGTTAATCATGTATACAGTGTAAATTTGCCTCAAAGTTAATTAGTGGCATTCAAGTTAAGAAAAATTAATACAGGCATTCTATGCACTGTCACAAAGGATTCTGTTTAAGCAGAAAATGGACTAATTAATACATTCTTGTAAATTAATTAACGCATTTCAGTCAGATGTTAGAAATGGAAAACATCAGTGGCAGCTCTATGCCAGGGCTCTTTACTCAAAGGGTCACTGTAAAACTGTTACAACACTGTAAAAAATAATAATAAATAAAAAAAATTGCTACCTTAAAATTTTGAGTGAACTGAACTTGTAATAGTAAGTTAACAGAACAAAACTCTGTGTCTTACATTCTCGTTATCATATTATTTGAACCCAAAATTTTAAGGCAACAGTAAGTAAATGACAGTTACAAGCATCAAATAAAACATGGAATGTTTTTTACAAGCTTCAAACACCCATGTTTAATTTAAAAGGCCCAAAAAGAGTTCAAGTGAATCTTTATTAGCTTGGTGCTAACATACTACTAGAATCTGCACTAGCAGAAATTAGTGTAAAGGTGTAAAAACATGTCTGGACATTATGACCTGAAGACCTGATATCAAACCAAGTATTAATTATATTTAACATATAAATTATGTCAATTTCTTACACAAAGCAGAGAGTGATGTTTTGTTGGTTCAGAGCAAAGATGACATAAAAGCTGAAGTTGACCACTTCTCTTGACTGAAAAATAAAAATTTAGTTTAGGCACTAGTTTGTTCTGCTTCAAAATGAATGTCCTCTGATCCTACTTTGAACAGACAGTGCGAAAAGACGGCTCCAAGGACAAGGCAGACTAAGTTTCAGCACAAGACAGACCTGATCTGCCAAACACAGACCTCCCAGACTGCACATTAGACAATTTTACATAATCACCAAAGCATCTGATTTATTGTGATATATCCAGAACTCCCCCATAAACTTTACCCTACATGAAGTTTATTTTTTCAGCGACTAATAAGGCAAGGTTATTATTCAGAAGTAAGGGATATTTCCACTGAGAGGAACATTCAGTGGATGGTATTTACATTACAGTTTTAGGCTCCAGCCACAGTTCATACAAAGAGCACGCTGCCTAACTTACAAAGGGTTGGCCGTCTGCGTATGTCTCAGTGTGTGCGTTGTGTTTATCTGTTGTGTAAACTGCTCTCACATGGAGAAGGCATTCCTGTAAAAGCCAGATGTGGACAGGGGCGGCACGTCTGAGGGCAGAGATACCGGTCCTATGTTCCAGCTCCATCTTGGCAGCACCTTGTGCTCAAGCATGAGCTTAGCATTTTCCAATCTGATGGGTGGGCAGACCTCTAGGGCTCAAACCTTAGTGCTTCACCAGGATTTAAACAGACAGATGAACTCTGTCTTAACTTTTTCCAAAAATTAGGATTTTGAAGGAAGAGCTAGTAGCTAGGAGGTGAAAAAAAAGTTGGTTGTTTTCATCGAGTGGAAAAGGAGGGGAGAAAAAAAAAAATCCACAAATCCATGTGCTCTCCCCTTGTGTACTGCAGTTATACTATAAATGGTTTTCTTCAGGGGAGGCTTACATAATGCATTGAACAGCTGTTTGAAAGTAACACATGAACTGGCACTTAACCAGTTTTCTTGTTAGATTAAATGCTATCGTCACCTACTTTGGCTGAAAAAAAATTCAACCCCGTGTTGCTGGGATAATCAATTATCTACCTAAATAGAACTGGTTCTTCATTTATCAATGAATGGTTAACAAACATACATGTGTCTAATTGCTGCTGAAAGACTGCTCGTTATAAAACCGTCTAATGCTACCCTGGTCCGCCTACATCCAAATCAGTGTGAAAAATTCTGGGTTTTTTTGTAAAGTCTGTGTCTTTAGGTCTAAGTCGTTATAAAACCAAGCTCAGCCTCTGGAACAACACCACTGACAATCCTGCAGTTATTCAAGTCTATAAGATATATAAACTAGACAGAATATTTGGCAAGTAAGACTAAAACTAAGACCACCTTTTACGGTAACAGAGAGGTCTTATGTACTCCTTCAGTAAGAAAAAGTAACAATTCATAATAAGGAGGTGTGGGATTTACATGCAAGTCAGGGGTCAGAGTATATCTCAGAGACACACATGGTGCAGGCATCACACACTGGTTTGAGTTCACCTCAGGGGCAGTTCACTCAAGATAACAGTGGAAACACAGATTCAGTATATGTTTTAATGTTATACATTCAATGCTTTGGACATTCTCTCATGCGCGCTTTCATTCCAGAAGTCTGCATGCCTTCACCAAATGCCCCACTTATTAGGACCAGCAAACTGTACAGTGAAGCTCAGTGGGACTGTGTCAACAGAAAGCTTAAAAAAAATAATGATTTAGCAAAGTCTTATTTACAGAACAAAGTAACTTATTTGGCCTGTGTGAATTTATCAATTTGCAGTCAGATTAACTACACTGATTTATTGCAACATTCACAACCTACTGTTCAACATATTTACAACAGCAGTTTTTATCTAGAACTGCCTCACCTGAACTTACAGCAGAACTCAGAACACCAGAGGATTATGCCACTGGACAGTACCGATAACAACAAACACTTTATATCTTGCACATACCAAAAATAATCTTACAAATGTGAAAAATCTGATTTTGGCAATAATTCATGCTTAAAAAGTATTTACATGCACTTAAGCAATCTGATAATACAAAAACCCCAGGCGACAGGAGTAAGTTAATAAACAGATCTCTTTCTAAACAAGACTCATGCATTCTCATACAGACTCATACAGCTGCTTTGCAACTCACCAATAAATCCACCAAACAGAATGACATGATGTGTTAGCGGAGACATAGCGTCAAATCTAGTACAAAAATTTAAATTATAATTTAATAATTTTTGTAGGATTTATTTTATTTTTATATGACCTGTTGTTGTAGATGTAATGTTATGTAGCGTTGAATTAAGTCTACAGTGTTTACTGTTTCCAGGGCAGGTCTTCTTGGATGCACTAAATCACCTTATTATTGGGCTAAAATAATGCGATTCAAGACATTGGAGTATACTATTTACACGGCCATATAACATGCAAAATGCACCAAATTATTCTGCTGAACTTGATCGTAGAGAACATCATTTCACAAAGCTCTCCAAGTGAGCTGTTTGGCTAAGGAATGTGCTTGATATTAAATGCACTAGGCGATTGCTGGCACTGTCAGTTTTTGCATATTTTTTCATAAACCTTATACTAAGTCCCATGTGTCAAACTCAAGGCCCGCAGGCCAGATCAGGCCCTCGACACAATCCTATCCGGCCCCCATAAGTGGGCAGCACGGTGGTGCAGTGGGTAGCGCTGTCACCTTACAGCAAGAAAGGCCTGGGTTCGATTTCCGGCTGGGCGACCAAGGTCCTTTCTGTGTGGAGTTTGCATGTTCTCCCCGCATGGGTTTCCTTCGGTTTCCTCCCACAGTCCAAAGACATGTGGCCAGGCCAATTGGATATGCTAAATTGACCCTAAGTGTGAGTGAGTGTGTATGTCTGTGTGTCTGCCCTGTGATGGAATGGCGACCTGTTCAGGGTGTATCCACTATCCACCGCCCAATGACTGCTGGGACAGGCTCCAGCTCCCCCGTGACCCAGAAGGATAAGCGGCTTAGACTCTGTGTGTGTGTGTGTGTGCGTGTGTGTGTGCGTGTGTGTGTTATTAGCCTGTTTCACAGTGTGCGGCACTACAGTCCCCAGCATGCACTGCAATGTAATGTGTGCTCTGACTGTCCTACCCCAATAACAATCTATGGGACAAAGGTTACACCGTTATATATTTTACACAGGCCACCATTTACATTTTTTTTCTTTTTTTTTTAGCCCAATATGTTAAATTCAACAAATAAACCGTCATTCTGTACTAAAATGCACAGAAGTGCATTCTCTGTAGAGAATGGGCACTTATTTTCACTACTTTCACAAACCATGTAAGTTGACTAAGCGTGTACAAACTTTGGCTGTATGCTGCACTGTAGTAAACAGCTTCAGTCTAGCCCAGGGTCCTGACACCATCACCACTAGTTAGCACTAAGTGCCCCAACCAACCACCATGACGGAAAGCACATGTCAGGAGAGGAGTAAAAGAGCATGCCAGCTTCTCTTTCTCCTTGCTTAGTCACGAAAGCAGGGTGAGGTGCACAGAGAGAAACCAGAGAAGAAATAGGAGAGAGAGAAAAGTGAACAGGGGAACGGCAGAACGTCAGGGTCAGAGAAAGATCAACAGCAGAAGTGTGGAGGAAACAGACAGAACGATCATATGTGCTTGAGAAACTGAGGAGGAGGAGGTGTTGGGGGCGGTGAGACAGTGAGGTCTGAGTTGTGTATCACTGCCAACAAAGGCCTTCTTGTTTCATTTATTTCCCAGAAACAGCGTCAGCTGTCCAACAGGGTCAGCAAAAAAAATGAATGGAAAAAAGCTTTCAGTCCCAAAAATCTGTAACACATTAAAACCCTCAGTGTTCCTAACAAGGACCACTAGTGCTTAATCAACTTAAACAACTGTGTATATACCAGATGACTTTGTATTTATCCATTTCATTAAGTTTAAATCATAGGAGTCACATGTTTTGCACAAAAAATTTAAATCCCATGTTTACGCAAAAGAGGGTAAAGTGTGTTTAAAAAGGGCACTGCAAGAGGTACAGGAAAAGGGGTCTGTTTGCCTCTGCATGTGTGTGAGTTTATGTGCCCAAGAGACCAAGTAGCCTCAAGTTAGTGGCCAATAGTCATGAGGGAGTATGGATAAGTATATGAGAGTATGTGCTAGGCAGGCGGGGGTGTGGGGGTTGGGGGGTGGAGTAGTCCTGCAGCAATAACACACTTTGCACGCACAGTGTCCCCCCTCCTTCCCTTCTCTCCTCCCTTATGAAACTTTGGCCTTACTTTCAGTTTAACCAGTTTCTCTTCCCCATTAGACACACAGCAGAGTGTACCTTCTGTGCCTGCCTCCGTAAAGTAAAGAAAAATAAGAAGATATTCTCGTGTGATACTGCCCTCAACCGTAGGTCTGTCCAGAGATCTTAATTTGTCTGTTGTAGTGTTGCACAACATATCGAAAGTTTCACGTTTTTCCCATACAACTAATGGGAAATGAGCTGAATATGGACCATAACACTGACTCTACAGACTCTCTGGGGAAAACCCCCCCACATCACGAAGGCTGTGTCTGAACCGTAACAAATGTGTCCTTCTCATACAGCATTCTGAGACAGCAAGGCACACAATCACGTCTGAATCTAATGTTTGAATAAAACGCTGCCTGCTGTTCCTCCATTCAGCCATTTTTTGAAGGCAGCGTTGATGTATCCTTCAGTGCTGTGCCGAGGCGGTTAGAAAAAAATAGCAGAAAACACCAGCACTAACACAGTTGTACACACTGCCTTCTAAGGCATTGACATAGACAGCACAGGTAGCAAGGCATCAAGATAGCTGCCTCCAGTTTCAGACACACAGATTATGTTTGTTGTGACAGTAGCCATTACTGCTTGCACACTCAAAACACTGTAATTTGATCTGTTCTGTCATCGCCTCCCTCATGATGCGTTTATTGTGGAAACTCATCACAATAATGATACAATTTAACATACAGCTCCAGACTATAGCTTTTTCCATCTTTCATGCCAAAACGGATCATTTGTAAACTAACTTTTACCATCAAGTAAAATGATGCGAGATAGCCAGTTGAGTTCAGAGTTCATGTAAATATGCAATATAAATATGGTAGACTGTGATTTGCTATTATTAATTAATGTTACGTATGCCTTTACAGGTAACACCAAATAACTGTAATTCCAAAAAAGTGATTAGGGGCAGTCTAACTTTAGAGGCACTTAATTCAACCTCAGTACATAACAGTCTGCCCTGAAACAAAAGTATGCAGATAATGACAGGTTAAGATTTGACTAAGGGAAATACTATTCTAAGCCTTTAAGGGAAGACTATACTGTTCACCTACCGGGGTGCTTGGCCCCCTTATTGGTGCTTGCCCCAGGCTCTCTCTCCTTAGAACTGCAGGAGAGCCAAAGTCTCTTGCCTCAGGGGAAAACCATCCCAACATCCCACTGTTCCACACCCACATGCACAGAGACACACATTACCAAGACTGAGAGAATGGAAGAGGCTTATCTACATCTAACACATCTAACACCTATGCCAACACATGTAAATCTTCTTCTGAAACTAGAGAACAGAAGTCTGTCTACATTTAAAGACATTCATCTATATGTGATGCATTAGATATAGATAAATATTCTCTGAAGTCTTCTTATTTGTATATGCATATACATATATATACACATACTGTACACACACACACACACACCACAAACAGCATGCATATTTATGAGCGCACATGAGCAATGTCATAGTAGGCCTTAATCACACTTCTTCAGATGATCAGTAATGTGATTCAGTCTAAGACACACCAAATTACAGTTGTGATTTTGAGACAGAATGGATCAAAACATCAAGTGCAATGATGATCACGTAAGACTACGGGGTGCTGCAAATCACCTCCCATCTATACTACTTTAAGACCAGATTACGAACAAGCCAAGCATGCTCGAGCAGGTCCACAAGCAGAGGCTTACGTATGTGTGATCCAATCTCATTGGGTGATGGTGAGGGAGAGAAAGGGGGTTCTGAAGGAGTAAGGGGATAGTAGGGTGGGATGGGAGGTGTTGAAGGGTTGTGGGGCGGGGCAGATCACTTAGCAGGTCAGTCTGCCTGGAGAAAGCTGGGGCAGGGGGTATACAGTACTTACTGAAGCGAGAGTCCACACGCGGGTCGAGCCACGATGTGCTCTGGGTTTTGTGGTCAATGAAGTAAATTTCTCCCTGAGGGGTGACTGCCTGCTCCCAACCTTCCGGCAGCTGGCCTGTTTAAGCAGCAACAGCACAACAACAGCTCCAGATCAACCAAGTGTGTTTAGAGTGCCTCGCTTGAGATTTGCTTTGCGTGCCTCTCAAGGCTTGAGTTTATCAAAACCAGAATAAGAAGAGAGTCAAAATCATCAACAGAACGTGTACTCTCGCTCTGAAATGAGATGTGACTTTCTTCAATCCTGAAAAGATTAGCTACTGTCATAGCCACCATGCTGCAACACAAGATCAAGCCATCTGTGTTGCAATGTTTGGTGCCTGTATAAACTCTGGGGGAGAAAAGGTAACATGTCAGTCTTTGCACTCAAAGAGGAGAACAAAGAAATGGAAAAAAATCCATCAAAACAACAAAGGCAGTGAGAAATCCTTTCTTGACAAGTGTGGGATGTCAGCCAGCATTGTTCTGCTGGGAATGTGGGGGAGGGAGAGAGGGGATGGACTGTACAGAGAGAGGGAGACAGAGAGAGAGAGAGAGAGAGAGAGAGAGAGAGAGAGAGAGAGAGAGAGAAAGAGAAAGAGAGAGAGAGAGAGAGAGAGAGTTAAAAACAAGAGAAAGAGGACAGAAGAAACAGAAAAGAGAAGGAGAGGCAAAAGAGAAGAAAAGGAGAGGCAGAAGAAAAGAGAAGGAGAGGCAGAAGAAAAGAGAAGGAGAGGCAGAAGAAAAGAGAAGAGAAGAGAAGAGAAGAGAAGAGAAGAGAAGAAACAGGAGGGGAAAGACAAAGATGAGCAATATTGGACACTGGACCACTGTTTGTTGTCCATAATTCTCCATAACTAAAGACACAGTTTGCTTGTGCGGGTGGTTTATCTACACCACAAAACAGTTCATAACACACCGACCATTACAACATTACAGCATGACAACCAAGTTACTGAACAGGGTGTCACAAGACACAGATAGGTGACTGAGTCAGAGGTTTCAATTTGTTTCCTACCTAAGAAAATGCACTATACTTTCACTTGGAGTTAATCATTTCACCGCAAAAACAGTGCTGTTGAAAACAGGTTTTAACAGTCATACTTGTGAACTATTCTGCTAGGGCAGTCATTAAATCCATTCTGTAATGGCATAAAAACCAAATTGACACTTCTTTTTTATTAACTACCCCGAAACCAGTTTACAAAAAGGCAGAGAGAGGCAACACATCTCAAGGAATAAGTTGTTTGAACAAGTCAAACAGGATGGTGTACACAACGTTACTTCAGGCTGAACGCTTCCATTCGCATAAACACAGGTCCGGTAAGAGGCCAGGCAGCAGCTGCCTCCTCCTGCTGTCTGTACTGAATCAACTCCACAGTTCCCTTACCTCTTTCTTGTCATCAAGCATGCTCTAAATTAGTGTTGCACAAAGTACGAAAAGCCCAATGCCTGCCCAACCAACAATTCAAACTTTTTAATTCTTTATTTAAAAAAAGGCTAACACTATGCTGACATTGTGTTCTGCCTTTAGGCATATCAAGTTGCACATGCTAATTTCTCTTGAACTGGCCCCTCCATTAGCATATCTAAAACATACAGGTGAAGAGTTTCACTCAGTAATACATGTGACCTTGTGCTCCTAGAAACATTCAACATAAGGTGTAACGAGAAATAATAGCTGAAAAACAACTAGCATACTCAAAGCGTGGGATATGATTATGTTGACTGAATTTTTTAGGTTTAAAAAAACAATATTAGGCTGCTTTGGGGCTTGGAAATCCTACAGGCATGGAAAAACCTACAGCTCTGCACACTCTTAACATGCTTGTGTTTTGTGCAGCCCCCCCAATGCAGCAACAGCTGCTGGGGGGAAGAAGTTAGGTTCACTGTGATAAAAATGCCATGTTAATTTAAATAGTGCATGGTTACAGCAGGTGTTGAAAATATATTAATAAAACATAAAATAAAAATACAAACTCCATCCTAAAGCAAGCACACGTATCTTTACTAGGTTCTAAGTTACATTAACCTTCAGTTCTTTAATTTTTTTAGTAGTCACAGTTGACCATCTTGATATTTAGAGGAATGCTGTAGCCCCCTCAGCACCACCACCAACACCCCTATCAGACAATCATGTCTGAATACTTCTGCTCTTTCTCCGTTTCCCTCCCTCTCTTGCTCTTAGTTCAATTCAAGTTTCTTGTGCTGTCAAAACTCAGGTTATAGAGTTTGGATTATTAAAGAACAATAAAACAGGAAATTGAACATTGTAGGGCGTGTAAAACTTCAAAAATGAAAACAGTTAAGACTGTACATTAAACATATGAACTGCGTGGGGAAGATGTGTAGTTTTCTCTCGTTCTCTTTCTCTGGAATCCTTTGAACAGCTGGCAACAAAGCGCAGACACACCTTTTTTCCATTTCATCACAAATCAGGATTTGTGAGGAGAAAAAAGCCAAACAAGGCACATTTGGAAGTAATTTGCTGTTCTGGCTTCAAGAGGAGGAAAAGATCTCGAGCCTGTGCCACTAGCCAGAGGCTCACTTTGTCTGTCTCCAGAACAGACGTGACAACGTCTCACGCTACAGAGAAACTCCTGCCTGTCAGGTCTTAACACTATCCCACAATGGCCAAAGACAAGCAATCAGAAAAGCTTTTTTTAATCCCTTGGCTGGTAGGCTATGTCACTTTCTCCACCCTATAACTGGAGTTCCCTATAACTGGAGTCCTCCAGAACTGCTGCAGCCTAACCCTACCTCTTTGTGGATGTTTGTTGACTGCGCAGGTGGTTGTTGTGTGAATGGATTGTTATTATTTAACTGTATTACAAGATGTTTATAGATATTTTCCTGGTTCATAATCAGAGATGGAAAATATTCATGTTGGAAGTTTTAAATATGCAAACAACAACATGATGTTCTTTTCTTGGGCATCATTTAGGTGAGAGTTAACATGTGACCATCAATGCCAATGTCCCTAGGATGACTGCACATACTTCCATGTTTCCTGCATAATCATCTCTCTGCAATGTCAACAACTGTTGTGGTACTTTGAGCTTACCTGTCAAATAATGTGCAGTAATATTATGCAAGCAGTAGTGTTTGCGTTGTTTAATATGAAGGAAGCCATCACCAAGGTATCATTCATAGCATATGCGTTTTAAACTTATGGCTCTGAATTTATTTTATTTGCCTAAACTTGTAATAGAATATTCTGTTTGACCTTAAAGCATAATGAAAGAAAATCAGTCAGTACTTTTTCATTTTGCTATACTATTTTTAATGTAGTTATGTACTTCTACTCTTAATTACACAATTAAGAGTAGAAGTACATAACAAGAAGTTATGCTATGAATAACATTTACTTCCAAAAATTTAAAACCTGTATCGAAAGCTTTAAGTCTACACTTCCAAAAACATGGCAAAGGTATGTGGTAAAGGACTGCTTTTGCTTCTGCAAATTACGACGAAATTAACTTTTCAATAACTTTTCATCAAATTCAAATGATAAATATCTAATCTTCTCATTACAAACCCAAATGTGGTATCTTTTAGAATCCACCTGTTAGAATCGTTCAGTTTTTGAACAAGCTACGAGTAGGAAATAAATGATAATAAACATCACCATGCTCTTCTTGATGTTATGGCATGAATACCTACAACTTCTGTAGGTAAAAGTCTGAAGGAGACAGCAGTTGGACAGAGTGGTGTGAAAAGGAAGCCTCACCGAGGTTTGGCTGGGACAGGGCCATGGAGCGCTGCTGTACATTGCCGGTGCTGCTGGTTGCCTGAGCGTGCAGGCTCATCTGATTCATGCTGGCCGTCATGGTCTTCCGAGGGTCATGCCACGTGGTGATTTTCTCCACGTGACTGCATAGAGACACACAAACACACACAAAAATTTATTACCAAACAGGCTCTAGGATGTTTCAACAGATAAATGTCCATAATGTCTACAAGGACATTTCAAATGACATCCCGGTTGACAGTATTGAATGTTTCAGTTGAAAGTTGAGGATAAATTAGCCTAACCAACAATTACTGTACCTTGGACCATTACAACAACACAAAAAGGTCTTCAGAAATGTCTGTATAGATTCTTAAAGAAAACCCAGGTGGTAGTGTAAGGCAGAGATCAAAGGGCAGTACAGCACTCTGTGTCCTCACGCCCATGACTAAACGCATCCTTCCATCCAAAAGAGAAGCCACATGAAATTCTGGCTCCTCTGCATTTTTCTCCTTAGGTCATGATTTCATCTGTAGTCATGGTTACACTAGAGAGCGTGTGCTGGAATGTGGCAATTCTTGCACATGGTATACAGCATATGTTCTACATGAACTTCTGGTTTCACAAAAATTTTCACACTGACACTGTTTTACTACTTTTTTTTTTACAATTCATAACTTGCAGCACTTATAAATGACCTGACACTTTTACTGGTGCTCTACCATCAACTACACTTGCAAACCCCTAGAACACCAAGACCTCTTATGAACATAAAAATCATGGCACTAATCACATAGCATGAAAGGGGCTTAGGATAGATTAAGTTTCAGCTTTTCAAGTTTTCTGTCCACAGGATTTAGGTTCCTTAGCTGTACGGGCTTGTTTGTACACAAACCCTGCCAAGCGAATGAATCCAAGGTGCGGCGAGCCGGTAGAGGTAGAGTTAGTCACTGCGCACACAAAAGGGCCTCAAGCCCTGCATGACTCACTCGGGCCTATTTACACAGCAATGGGAAGATTAGTTGCTTCCTGCTGATCTGAGACCTGACCTTGGCAGAGCAGGAAACCTGTTCTCTGGGGCACTACAACAGCAACTAACCGCTGACGCTTGTACAACATCATTTCTAGGGATTATAGACTAATATATTGCTAACGCTAGATGCATAACAATACACTAATATACACTCAGGTATTGTTATGCCCCTAACAAATGCACTGTAAAATTACTTTTTGTTGCATGTAGTTTGTTAGTTTCAGTGTTAGAGATACTAGGCTAGTCATATAGACAGAGGTGATTAGTAAATAGTTAAATTTACTCTGTCACGTGTATTTAAGTGCAGATGTGGGCATAGGCCAAACGTTGGCAGGAACATAGATTCATTAGGGTGGGAACAAACTAAGAACTATGCTTCAAACTCCCCCAAAACTCCAATTAAGCATTTAGATGTGTGCAGAATACAAATTACAAGCGGTAAAAATAACAATTACCTCTGCAAGGAAAAAAGTTTCATTAGCTAACAACAGCATTCCACTAGCTAGTTTGATTTGCTTGTATTATTGATTGTACTCTACACATTTAAAGAGCCCAGACTAGAGGTATCTGGAGACAGGTTTTAGAGGGGCCTAACCTTCTGGCCATGAAACTAAGGTATGTAAAAATGCCTGAACCCATACTCAAGTAAAAGAATTGACTCAAGTAAAAGTACATCTTCAAAAAAATAAATAATTAAAAAATTTTAAAAAGTAGTTCTTGATGTTTAAGATTGTAACTTCTAATTTTTGTTTGATTTTATTCTGTTCTGTTAATTTAGCATCTGGACTGTTTGCTGTTTAACTGTTGTTAACATTTCTTATTTTCAAGTTTAAGATTTTTCAGGAAGAAAATGTTAAAAAAGATTAGTACCTAACAAACTTTAGTTCCTGTTGTGGTATTTGCTGAATATACTAAGAAGTTCCGTTGCAGTTCTACACAAAACTCTACACTGTTTTTTTTTCCAAACTGGATACTTTTTTTCTTTTATTTGAGTCATTATTTCATTAAAGTAACAATACATTTACTTGAGTATGGGAGTATGGCTTTAGACATGACTGTCCTGTTGGTGTTGGGAGCTGGGACAGAGGCAGAATGTAAAGAGTATTTACAGGAGGGCCTTTAATTGGGTAAAAGACGTCAGCAGAAGGGCTGATTTATGCTACTGGGTTTCAGGCAGGCTGCAGTGTGTTCTTTACTGGGGGAGATTTAGGAGCGGAGGGTGAGAGGGGATTATGAAGCTGGCAGAAAGGGGCCTCAGGGCCTGGGTGGGGCAGCTATCCTGCAGCTGTGAATAGGCCCCCTAAGTCTAGAGCTTCAGGCTTCTCAGGTCAAACCCGTCTTGGGTCAAATCTCTGAATTAGGAGGTCTGCTATGAGGCTTAATGCACAACACAAATAAAGTTATGAAGAGTGTTTCTGTACTTAAGGTGATAACTGAGGTGCTAGGCCAATATGATCTGTATCAGTATAATGGTATTGCTGTCACATTGCGGTACTTTTAATTTTTCAAGTTTTCAAATTGCCTTTCTTGAAGTCTGGTTTCTCTCCAGTTAAGGTTTACAAAACTTTGCACTGTAACACTGTTGGTGTAAAATTGAGAAGAGAAGAAAACAGAACTGACCAGTCCAAACCAAACAAGTTACGTCGGGTTTATAAGACATTCTTTTATCGTAGAGTAGCAGTACTCAGAAGGCATAGGTTCATAAACTTTAATAGTGGAAACTTAATACCATGATATATTTGGAAAACTACCCACTCCCACATGAAAAGTATACATTTTGATGTTGGAGAGAAGAAGCAAAGCAAAAATGAAGCAAGCATTAAGATCAGGAGACGCATGGGCCCTGACTGAGCGTCACATGGCCATGTTTGTGCGAGAGCAGTGTACTGTTTGCAGAAGAAACCCACACACTCACTCACACACACACAGGAAATTCAGAGAAACAATGGCTGGGTGCTGAACCTGGGGCGACACCAGGGCTGAAAAAAACACAGCCCCCTCCACTGACACACTCACACTACAGCCAGATGGACACAGCACCTCAGAGCTGGACTTCCTGTTAGTGTGCTAGCACTGGAAAATAATACACTGATCTGCCTTATAGAATACATACAAACACACACACCCACACACACACACACACACACAAATACACATACATGTACATACAAAATGTCATATCTGAGACATATACATTAGTGTTCAAAAGTTTAGAATTTGGAAAGAGTTTGGAAAAAAATTTAGATGTGTTCAGAATGCCGAACAGAGCTGCAGATGATTATTCTAAAATGACTGAAGACTGTACAACTCTGACAATGATGTTACAGTAACTTTAACATTCACAACACTTCAAGAGAGGATCAAATCTTGAGACAGAATGTGACATTCTTGTAAACAGATAACTGCAATGCATAAATTACAGTATATAATAATTAAAAATCCTGGAAATATTGGATAAAACATCAACAAACACATTTTTGTGTGCGTAGTTTATAAGATTTAAATCTGCACTGTACAATTTGTCATTGTATATAGAAGAAATCAATAATATAACAGGTGATTCAGAGGATGGGGATGTCACAATATACATATTCATATTTTTTTTATTGCAAGGCAATATGCACTGCAATTGGAACTGTTCTTTAAAAAACACTCCATACTATTCCTAAAAAGAAACGGTCTTGAAAGTAAGAAAAAAACTTAATCATCTTGATCATCTTAATCATCGTAATTAAACTTGATCATCAATCCACAGATGTGAATGCAAGCCAATTTAGAATGAGATTCTCCAGCAACAAATATATTCTCTTGCAACACACAACACACACAAACGTTTCAGTCATGCGTCAGTGTGAGATGTTTAAAGATAGACAAGAAGGAGCAATCTGCAGAATACGACACAATCTTGACTGCAGAGTCTCACTCACACCCCGTCAGGAAACTCCAGAATAAGACTCCTTATCTCTCACTCACTCTCTGCTAAACAGCAGTTGTATAGACTGAGATACTGTTATGTTTAAACAGGTCACCAGACTAAATCTACAAGAGGCAAGAGGGCCACCTCAAAGTTCTGTGTGACACTGAAAACACAAATGGCTTATTTTCAAGATATATATATATTCAGCAGGGTAGTACTTTACTGGTTGATCATGACTAGAACTAATGAGAACAGCGTTTTATTCTGCCATGTTCGATTCTACTCAGCACTTCAATAGGACAAATCAGCATTACACCACAACACTGCAAATTCAAAAACAAGAACTGACCTAAACATGGACCAACTGAATTTACGGTTCTAGTTCTAAACCTAGTTTATTTCCCACCTGCTCAAGAGACAGCTGGAACAATTTCAAGTCAAGTCAAGAATGGGAATCTTGCATGATACCACTACAAGAGGACAATTTATAATAATCACTATTAACAATTTAATGTTAATGGTCCTTTTGGTAATTTGTTTGGTCTTTTGGTTACTCTAAAGCATCTAATTTGGCTATCTATCTACTTATTTGCAAGTTAACATAACATCACCGAAATCAAAACGCATTTTTCTGCCTTAAAGTGACATAATTCCGAGTGAAACAGGCTCTTTGGGTGGGAAATAGATGTGGACAGGACATGATTTTATTCTTCAGGATGTTAATGGATCATGAAAAGCAGATCTGAAACATGGTTCATTAATTGCTGAAAGGTAGATCTTAATGTTTTTTCTTTTACTTTTTAAGACGTAGATGACACCAGTTAACAGGCTAACCTGTTAGCAACCACACTGCTCTTGCTGTTCTTACTCTTTCGCTGCAACAGCAAGAAAAAGAGACTTCAGGAAAAAGTCAGATAAAATAAATTTGTGTATGAATGTAATTAGCTAATATTTAAGCAAGAAATGTACTGTGTGTTCGTGTCTGTGCACACTGTGTACCTTAACAAGCTGACCCCCCACCAACGTCATAGCGCGACAGAAAACTTCAGCCAGATATCTGAACTACCTCACTGCTGTTAACATTAACACAGGGTTTCAACAGCAACGAGCTATGTAACTAAGTAACTAATAATTGATTACTTTACAATCAGTCTAAAAACTGAAAGAGACAGTAAATGAGGAGAAGGAAGGGT